TTGACTCTGGTACGGAATACTTTCTTGCCGCCGGTCTTATTCCATGCACAATTCCCCATTTTGCAATTTCTGCTCGTTGAAAAGCATCATATGCTCCATATTTGCCCCTCCTTTTCTTTGGTTCTGGAGCGTCAAGAAATAAATGCTGTTTTACTGCATTTTCTTCAGCAGCATTTAATTTGCTGTCAGACGACGCGACCGAAATATCGTCTTGGGAAACCTTTTTGAAATATTTTAACAGAGCCATGTGCGTTGATTTCCCGCACAATGTTTTCTGTTGGCAATACTTGAACGGTAGAATATGTGTTGCAGAAACGTTTGACGTATTTGGCAATTAGTTAATAAGGAAGTAAAATCAGTCAGTATAATAATAATAGAACATCATATCTAACACCTAAAGAAACGTGACTCATCATTGACTATTGTGTTGGAGAAATGGAAAGCATTTGCATCGTGTGCAATGATTTGAAAAAATACACTTGTCTAAAATGCCAATCATTTGTTTGTAACTGAGGAATCAAGTGTTCAATCCCTGCATCTGAAAACTATCCTGGATGGAAAAGTCGTTCGAGTGTTGCTTTAGGTGAAGCGTGCGACGCGAAAGAAAATTACGCATCTGATGGCTTGCTTCAGGAAACCCACGATTCAGGAACGGATGATTCTAATTCAGTGAAACTGAGCCCCGAGGGGACATCGTTTTCTCTGGCTTGCGTATCACGAGGTTTTCATGAATACAGAAAAATCTGGGCTCCAAGAATCAACCAGCAGTTAATAATAAAACCAGAATCAGGAAAGCTATTCGACCCATATGCTATTGGTCTGTTTACCAAAATCAGAGGCAAGATTGAACCATTGTCACTGGTCGGACATTTGCCTCGAGAGATTTCCCGATTTTGCAAGTTCTTTTTTGAATATGGGGGCAATATAGAAGCATGTGTGGGTGACATCAAATTTCGTCGATCCCCATTACCACAAGGAGGCTTGGAGATTCCTATTACCCTAACAGTCATGCAGAACAATACAAGTTTTAGGATATACAGCAAAATGCAGGCATTCGTGACGGAATACTACGTAGAACCCGAGAATATCCCGACTGAAATTGTACAGGATGAAAATAAAGACATTTTTGATTTTTAATGTTACCAGGATAACTAAAAACATATGTCAATATGTATATGCGTTAATAAAACAACTGATTTGCATAACCAACAATGAATGTCTCATGTTACACTACAAAGCTTTTCGCGCGGATTATATTTCGCACAGTACTAAAATTCGCGCACTCAGCGCTGCGCGAATTCTAGTACTGCGCGAATTTTAATACAAGTAAGGTAGGAATATTTGTGCATTCCAAGACTGAAAGCCATGACACTGCATCGGAATCTCCATTTCGTACGGAAGAGTATTGAGCGTTTCCACAGATCTTGGTAACAAAGTATGTCGCCGTTATTAGGAGGACATGGCAGCATGTCATTCAAGTCTACGTCTGGGCTGTTTACATGCAGCAGCTGCAGTAGACAACATCGATCATAACCAGAGCTCAACGAAAGCCAAAGATTTTATTTGACGGCACTGCAATATCCTTGTTTCAACATATATATATATAATCCTGGTTTAGAACGAACACCTACAAATATTTTGTAAAAAAATTGCGCCAACTTAATTGGCAAACTTCCATCGACTTACACAGACGTCGTTCCCGTATCAGCAAGAATCAGAAAAGTTTGCATTCCAACTACAACTGCAGATATTAAATCGAATGGATGCTCCTTCACTACAGGCATTGATGACAAATTTAAATGGTTAAAAAATACAGTCCTATCGTTATAGAAACGTTGGATGAAAATGCTACTATTTCTGGGACTGCTTTCCACTCACATCAACAGTCTTGTATACACCCTTTTCAAGCTCCGATTGTTCAGAATTCGTGTTTAATAAGAGACACGGGAACATTTTTGTTCAGAGTTCACGTGCAACTCAGTCCTGTTCTTTGTGAGGTGAAATTAGTCGCTTGACTCGACTCATTATTGATTCAAATTGGATGCAAGAAAAGAATTAGTAGCGAGTTGAACCGCAAACGTCGTATATTATCAACTTTTAGTCTGCGTGACTCTGGTCAGCGCTTATTTAGCGATTATTCGAACTATTTGATTATAACAACGAAACTGATCGATAAATTTAAGAGCAATTTGCTTTGCTCGACATTTGCCGAAATTTCTTTGAACAATTTTAAACAATATTTTGACTTCAGGTTCAACATGATTGCTATTTTAAGAACAAACATCTTGAAATGGCGCAATATCAAGTTTTAATCATCACCACATAAGCTTTCTCCATACAAATTTTTCTACTTTTAATAGAAATTGAACACTTTTAGCGCATATCTGCTTCACTATTGATTGTTCAAGTTTGGCAACAATTCTGCAAGCTCAGAATATTATAATATAGATGTCATCTAATTTTCCGCAAAAATTTAGTCGGATTTCGAATGGTTCATTGCAAAATGTCGAATATTTTGGCTGCTAGACTGAAGAATTCGAGTTAATTCTGCAATAATTCATCTATAGATTATAGAACATAGCTATGTGAAGGAATTCATTCCTGTTGCTACAATTCATTACAAAAAGTGCAGCTTTTCTGTCACGCTGTGAGCAATAGATCGTGACTAAAACACCACACGAGTACATACGAGTACATACGAGTAACATACGAGTACATACCAGAGCCCTCTATAGTATAAGAGTTGGGACATCTATTGTTATCCGTATAGCTTACGTTGATTGGGCAATATTAATCACCTGATCAATTTCCGCCATTTTGGTTCCTAGTTTTGAAATTTTATCTTGTGTTTATATAGCAATTGCTGCTAGTAATACAGTATTTTGAGATAATATTGCGTTTTTTTATGGATAAGTGTGTAATAACTGATTGTTGAAGGCTACTAAATGTCATTACATATCGCATAAATCGAGGATTACGAAAAAAATGAAAGAAATGCCTTTACGTCGAACTTACGAAATTTGATTGCGTATGGTGATTGTTGTGCTGAACTGCTTTTGATATAAGGTTCAATTAACTGACTCAAGTAGAGAAACATTTTTGGGCCAAATAACATTGCAAAGTTCGTGCTGATGCAGTTTCAATAGTTTTCTTACTCCAAAGCTTGTCTTTTAATCGAAGATGATTTCTCATTATGTTCTGAAATTGGTCAATCTACAAACCTCTCAATTCTCAGCCACTTCCATACTAAAACAACTACACCAAATCACAGAAACTCTTATGATTTTCCATGTTGTATTTTGTATTTTTAGTTCATCATTTAAAAATGAAGTAATTATAATTAGGATATTCAATGAAACAGCTGAGTACAATATATTTTTGGTATTGAATTGTACAAATGTACCCTACTTCTGTAGCTCAAAGTAGAACATTACTTCTCTTCTAGACTTGTTGATGATATTTTAATTGTAGGTTTTGGTTTATAAGATCACAGAGGCATATCTCCATAATTTCAGCTATTTGGGCTTTTTGATGTATATTACAATTGTTGCTGCCTTTCTCATATATATTAAAATGTTGCCGGCTTTCTTATATATATTTAGGTTGTGCTGGCTTTTTGATATATATATTTCACTGGTAATACAAGGCATAGAATTTGAACAAACGGGGCTGAGCTCCCTCCAACATACCCCTGTTTGATCATTAAACACATATAGATGTCATTCCTCAACCAATAAATTTAACTCTTTGCTAAATTAAAGATTGGATCAGACTCATATGCTGTATAAAAGACTACAAACAGTAGCATTTATAGCAAACAGACTGTTCTTCAACAACAGAAATGTTTCATATTATAGAAATAATATATTCATTTTAAAAAAATGCTTCACCAAAATTTTCAGCAGAATCCCTAACAAACTTTATTAGAAATAAACTTTAATACTTTATAAAGTGATAAAAGCGAAATAACTTCATATAAAGGAATAAAGCGTTTAAGGTCAAATGCATCTTGGCCAAATCATTGCATATTTCAATAACTAAAAAGTAAAAAAGTCTGTCATTTTCTGCTGAGCAAGAAAATTTTGTGATCTTTCAGGATAAAAAATATCATGCTTGGATTAAATTGGGGGGGCATAAATCACTAACTACCATTAAATTGTTACAAATCTTGAACACAAATCTCTCCGGACCAAATCTGCATGATTACTATGATTCAAAGTTTCGAACAAAGTCTTGTCCAAGTATTTGATAACACTGATGCCAGGATAACATTGCCGCTTGCCACCAAGCTTCAAGTCGGAACATAAGCCGAGAAAACACGTTCACGTACGAAAAATACTTCTTACAATGGGTCACGATCAATTTAAAGCACGAACTAGTAAACCGCAAACGAAGCTCAAACCAATGAAATTAAATCAGGTCTGCCGCAAATCGTTAAAAAAACGCAGAGCTTGTATTTATTCCTAATATATTTGATACTACCATGGAATAAGCTTAAATTGCTTTCTTCTTTTGCATATAAACCCAATTTCCAATAGTATTATTATAGTTTCACTTTGCAAGTAGGAACCAAAATGGCGGCTCCGCGCTCGCCCCAGACCGTTTGTCCCAACTCTTATACTATAGAGGGCTCTGGTACATACGAGTGATTATACATTCATTTTGGTCTTTAAGATACTGATTTTGCAGTTAAAAGACTGAATTATATCAGCTAGAACTTTAAAAACATTAAAAGTAAGCTGAAATTGTACGCATAATATGATATATATACGTAACACAGTGCAACTCTCATTTAATTCATATATAATGTACATTTATTTCATATAGCACGTTTTGAAAGCATTATTTATACGTTGTTTATTTAATCGCTTTCATAAATATGTATTTCCTAGGTGAATGTGTGTCAAAAAGCACTCAAATACTGGCAAATCGCATCGACAAAATATCTATAACAAATTCAACTAAAACATACAAATGAATGTAGTATGAAAGTAAAATACCTTTTCAGCATTTAAATCCATCAAATGGTTGCCCCAAAGTCCACACAAATACAAGGAAAAATAAACGCAAATATCAATGTATTGAAGAAATTGTGTTGTTTCCATTGAGTTCTATAAGACCTGGAGGGGAAACGTCAACCAAATTACTATAAATTATCAGCGCGCGGCCGCGTGGTCAAAAACATGGCGGATTTTGGTTGTCAAAGTCAGCGGAAAGACGCGGGCTCATAAAATGAAATTTTTTTCGCCCACCCGGATTTGACAACCACAATTGCGATTATATAAAATATCAATGCCAAGCACAAAAACTTTAGAAATTTTATCTTTAAAACATGCTGCAAACTTGTTTGGTATACGGATGCTGAAGTAATGCCAGAAAAGGAAACATTTCATGACACCGGTAAGCAACGTAAGATTGTTTACTATTTAAAGTGTTCAGTGTTTTGTTTTAAGTCGATACTTGAAGTGTGATGGCATATATTTTGTGAATGTTTTTACTCCTAAGTTGTAATTTAAGTTATGTTTATCCAGTCTTATTTGTTCTTTACTTAATCGATTGCTAGACGAGGCAAAGCAACCAGTTCTTATCGAGATATGCATATCTTAAAACTCCTTGTTTCAACTGAGTTGAAATGGAGGATTTTTTCATATTTTTCTGAAAATATGAAGCAAATATTAAGGACAGAGCTGTATTGAAATCAAATGCAGTGCAGGATTAATTAGTGAGCTCTTTGGTACATGTCGTACAATAAAAAATACCTGTATTAAACAGCTAGCCTGGACAATTTGACAGATTATGGACAATCATATTGATGGTGTGTAAAGGTTTGCTTTATGCTAAAAGTTTTATAAATCCAGCCATCTGGTGTTTCTGTAAATGAATTGTTTGTTACATAGTGTAGTAAACAGGTTAGTACATCAAAATCAAGATAAAAACTACTTTGTTCAATAATGTGCCAAATTTTGCTCCTACCTTGAAATATTTGCTCAAGAAAAGCTTATCATGACATGCATGAAACATTAAATACAGTACTGCGTCATCTGACAAAGTCCACATGTTTTTCAATTCCAGGTGATTAAAAATTCACATAAGATGCATCGGTTGCAATGAAGTTGAATGTGGAAGAAGCAAAAATTGATGGCAAAGAACTTTTTATGTCTTTTGAAGAATTACGATATCATTTAAAAGAATAAGAGTAGCAATCTAGTAAAAGAAGCGACATCTGTCTTCAACATGAGACTTGTTTTTGACCACGGGGTCCAGGCCCCTTTGCCCCTCCAGGTCTTTTAGAGCTCAATGGTCGGCACTAGATCATGGTCAACTAACGTACGCGCCCACATATTATTCTTATTATGTCAGCGGTAAGTAACAATTGACGAATATTCATGTTTCATTTTACGAATGATTTTACCGCACTACATATTGCGTTTGCATATGGCAATAAGGCAAATTGGCAATAGAGAAAGCGATAAAAGATTACAAAGATTTCAATTCAATTTTGGTCAGATGTACTTTCTTTAAAATGTCTGCCTTGCAGAAGTAATGGATTGACTACCGTGAAATTGGCACCACATTGGGCACAACATTCAACACAACATTCATCACAACATTCAACACCACATTCAACTAAAATTTATCATTCAAAATGATAAATCGAAAAATCGTCTTTAAAACACGTTTTCCATCAAATAAAATAGTAAAAAACAATTCTTAACTGTTTATTATTATTTTACTGTCCTAACCATCACAAAAATGTATAAAAGTCAAGAAATTGAAGAAAACACTAAGATTTATATTACAGTGTACTTTCCATTTCTCTTAATTAGCGTATAACTTAAAACTACACGGTAGAATTTTTAAACTTGGCCAGAATATAGATAATTATATTGCCTAAAATATATCCAAAATCTGGAGAGTGCACAAAAATATAAATGATAGAAAAACATCTACAAAGTCGGATGACACGAATACGCGTAATATAATATTATATAATTAACTTCCTATATCCAGGTATCTTTGCAAACAAAGGCCTATAAATAAAAAACTACACGGTAGAATTTTTTTAAACTTGGCCATACTGTTGATATGTTTATTCTCTAAAATATATCCAAAATCTGGAGAGTGCACAAAAAAATAAGTTGTAGAAAATCATCGGCAAAGTCGGATGACACGAATACGCGTAATATAATATTTAATAATTAACTTCCTATATCAAGGTATCTTTGCAAACAAAGGCCTGTAAATAAAAAACTACACGGTAGAATTTTTTTAAACTTGGCCATATTACAGATATTTTTATTGTCTATAACATATCCAAAATCTGGAGAGTGCACAAAAATATAAAAGGAATAGTATTCCTTGAGAATAAACCGTGAAGTTGGCACCACATTCGACAAACAGCTCTATAGCTAAAAAACTACACGGTAGAATTTTTTTAAACTCAAGTATATTATAGAATTTTATATTGTCTAAAATATATCCAAAATTTGGAAAGTGCACAAAAATATAAATGATAGAAAAACATCGGCAAAGTTGGATGACTCAAATGCGCGTAATATAATCTTGTATAAATAAGTTAAGAATTCCGGTTCTTTAACAAACAAAGACCTATAAATAAAAAACTACACTGTAGAATTTTTTTAAACTTGGCCATACTGTTGATATGTTTATTCTCTAAAATATATCCAAAATCTGGAGAGTGCACAAAAAAATAAGTTGTAGAAAATCATCGGCAAAGTCGGATGACACGAATACGCGTAATGTAATATTATATAATTAGATTCCCATATCCAGGTAAATTTGCAAACAAAGGCCTATAAATAAAAAACTACACGGTAGAATTTTTTTAAACTTGGCCATATTACAGATATTTTTATTGTCTATAACATATCCAAAATCTGGAGAGTGCACAAAAATATAGAAGGAATAGTATTCCTTGAGAATAAACCGTGAAGTTGGCACCACATTCGACAAACAGCTCTATAGCTAAAAAACTACACGGTAGAATTTTTTTAAACTCAAGTATATTATAGAATTTTATATTGTCTAAAATATATCCAAAATTTGGAAAGTGCAAAAAAATATAAATGATAGAAAAACATCGGCAAAGTTGGATGACTCAAATGCGTAATATAATCTTGCATAAATAAGTTAGAATTCCGGTTCTTTAACAAACAAAGACCTATAAATAAAAACTACACGGTAGAATTTTTTTAAACTTGGCCATACTGTTGATATGTTTATTCTCTATAATATATCCAAAATCTGGAGAGTGCACAAAAAAATAAGTTGTAGAAAATCATCGGCAAAGTCGGATGACACGAATACGCGTAATATAATATTTAATAATTAACTTCCTATATCAAGGTATCTTTGCAAACAAAGGCCTATAACTAAAAAACTACACAGTAGAATTTTTTTAAACTTGGCCATACTGTTGATATGTTTATTCTCTATAATATATCCAAAATCTGGAGAGTGCACAAAAAAATGATTTGTAGAAAATCATCGGCAAAGTCTAATATAAAATTCTATAATATACTTGAGTTTAAAAAAATTCTACCGTGTAGTTTTTTAGCTATAGAGCTGTTTGTCGAATGTGGTGCCAACTTCACGGTTTATTCTCAAGGAATATATTCCTTTTATATTTTGTGCACTCCAGATTTTGGATATGTTATAGATAAAAATATCTGTGTATGGCCAAGTTTAAAAATTCTACTGTGTAGTTTTTATTTACAGGCCTTTGTTTGCAAAGATACCTTGATATAGAAGTTAATTATTAAATAATATATTACGCGTATTCGTGTCATCCGACTTTGCTGATGATTTTCTACAACTATTTTTGTGCACTCTCAGATTTTGGATATATTTTAGAGAATAAACATATCAACAGTATGGCCAAGTTTAAAAAAATTCTACAGTGTAGTTTTTTATTTATAGGTCTTTGTTTGTTAAAGAACCGGAATTCTTAACTTATTTATGCAAGATTATATTACGCGCATTTGAGTCATCCAACTTTGCCCATGTTTTCTATCATTTATATTTTTGTGCACTTTCAAATTTTGGATATATTTTAGACAATATAAAATTCTATAATATACTTGAGTTTAAAAATTCTACCGTGTTTTTAGCTATAGAGCTGTTTGTCGAATGTGGTGCCAACTTCACGGTTTATTCTCAAGGAATACTATTCCTTCTATATTTTTGCACTCTCCAGATTTTGGATATGTTAGACAATAAAATATCTGTAATATGGCCAAGTTTAAAAAAATTCTACCGTGTAGTTTTTTATTTATAGGCCTTTGTTTGCAAATTTACCTGGATATGGGAATCTAATTATATAATATTACATTACGCGTATTCGTGTCATCCGACTTTGCCGATGATTTTCTACAAATTATTTTTTTGTGCACTCTCCAGATTTTGGATATATTTTAGAGAATAAACATATCAACAGTATGGCCAAGTTTAAAAATTCTACAGTGTAGTTTTTATTTATAGGCCTTTGTTTGAGTTACCTGGATATGGAAGTTAATTATATAATATTATATTACGCGTATTCGTGTCATCCGACTTTGCCGATGATTTTCTACAACTTATTTTTTTGTGCACTCTCCAGGTTTTGGATATATTTTAGAGAATAAACATATCAACAGTATGGCCAAGTTTAAAAAAATTCTACCGTGTAGTTTTTTATTTATAGGCCTTTGTTTGCAAAGATACCTGGATATAGGAAGTTAATTATATAATATTATATTACGCGTATTCGTGTCATCCGACTTTGTAGATGTTTTTCTATCATTTATATTTTTGTGCACTTTCCAAATTTTGGATATATTTTAGACAATATAAAATTCTATAATATACTTGAGTTTAAAAAAATTCTACCGTGTAGTTTTTTAGCTATAGAGCTGTTTGTCGAATGTGGTGCCAATTTCACGGTTTATTCTCAAGGAATACTATTCCTTTTATATTTTTGTGCACTCTCCAGATTTTGGATATGTTATAGACAATAAAAATATCTACAATATGGCCAAGTTTAAAAAAATTCTACCGTGTAGTTTTTTATTTACAGGCCTTTGTTTGCAAAGATACCTGGATATAGGAAGTTAATTATTAAATATTATATTACGCGTATTCGTGTCATCCAACTTTGCCGATGATTTTCTACAACTTATTTTTTTGTGCACTCTTCAGATTTTGGATATGTTATAGACAATAAAATATCTACAATATAGCCAAGTTTGAAAAATTCTACCGTGTTTTTTATTTATAAGGCTTTGTTTGTTAAAGAACCGGAATTCTTAACTTATTTATGCAAGATCATATTACGCGCATTTGAGTCATCCAACTTTGCCGATGTTTTTCTATCATTTATATTTTGTGCACTTTCCAAATTTTGGATATATTTTAGACAATATAAAATTCTATAATATACTTGAGTTTAAAAATTCTACCGTGTAGTTTTTAGCTATAGAGCTGTTTGTCGAATGTGGTGCCAACTTCACGGTTTATTCTCAAGGAATACTATTCCTTTTATATTTTGTGCACTCTCCAGATTTTGGATATGTTATAGACAATAAAATATCTACAATATGGCCAAGTTTAAAAATTCTACCGTGTAGTTTTTATTTATAGGCCTTTGTTTGCAAAGATACCTTGATATAGGAAGTTAATTATTAAATATTATATTACGCGTATTCGTGTCATCCGACTTTGCCGATGATTTTCTACAACTTATTTTTGTGCACTCTCCAGATTTTGGATATATTTTAGAGAATAAACATATCAACAGTATGGCCAAGTTTAAAAAAATTCTACCGTGTAGTTTTTTATTTATAGGCCTTTGTTTGCAAAGTTACCTGGATATGGGAATCTAATTATATAATATTACATTACGCGTATTCGTGTCATCCGACTTTGCCGATGATTTTCTACAAATTTTTTTTTTGTGCACTCTCCAGATTTTGGATATATTATAGAGAATAAACATATCAACAGTATGGCCAAATTTAAAAAAATTCTACCGTGTAGTTTTTTATTTATAGGCCTTTGTTTGCAAAGATACCTGGATATAGGAAGTTAATTATTAAATATTATATTACGCGTATTCGTGTCATCCGACTTTGCCGATGATTTTCTACAAATTATTTTTTTGTGCACTCTCCAGATTTTGGATATATTATAGAGAATAAACATATCAACAGTATGGCCAAGTTTAAAAAATTCTACCGTGTAGTTTTTATTTATAGGCCTTTGTTTGCAAAGATACCTGGATATAGGAAGTTAATTATATAATATTATATTACGCGTATTCGTGTCATCCGACTTTGTAGATGTTTTTCTATCATTTATATTTTTGTGCACTCCAGATTTTGGATATATTTTAGGCAATATAATTATCTATATTCTGGCCAAGTTTAAAAAAATTCTACCGTGTAGTTTTTAAGTTATACGCTAATTAAGAGAAATGGAAAGTACACTGTAATATAAATCTTAGTGTTTTCTTCAATTTCTTGACTTTTATACATTTTTTGTGATGGTTAAGGACAGTAAAATAATAATAAACAGTTAAGAATTGTTTTTTACTATTTTATTTGATGGAAAACGTGTTTTAAAGACGATTTTTCGATTTATCATTTTGAATGATAAATTTTAGTTGAATGTGGTGTTGAATGTTGTGATGAATGTTGTGTTGAATGTTGTGCCCAATGTGGTGCCAATTTCACGGTAGTAATGGATTGATAGTACTTTACTGGACCTAAGGAGAACAATGTAATGTTATAAAGTAGAAATGGACTCTATTTGTATTATAGATATGATATTAAATATTTTCCTGTTATTTGTAGTACTAATAAAAATTATTATAGATACAACATACATGATAAACACACCCATCTAGATTCGTATCTTCAAATTTTTTTCCAAGCTTCCTGCATAATAATATAAAGTTTGTGTGTTTAATGTGTTTGACTGTTTGTCCATACTTGCTTGTAATTTTCTGATTTGAGTTAATACACAGGTGTGGTAACTTTTTAAACTTTGTTAAAGTTATTGTCAGGAAATTTTGAAAACTCATTGCCTCCAGCAGTGCCATCCACACAGTGAACCACAATCTAACTTAAGTGCTCATTAAATGAAATGGGTGGTTTTCAAATGAGCAAATTGATTTATCATGAAAAATTGATAGGTGATCATAGTACAGGTGCAGCCAGATTGAATGTAAAGTTGTGATATCAATCACATTAGCTAATTCATATGTTCCTGAAAATACTTTACAACAAGAAATGGTGACAATATATCTTAACATGTAACACTGGGTATTCTCTACATTCAACTCTGGCAAAAATTTTAAAATTGAATCTCTGAGCACCAAAATAAATTCTATTATGGAAAAACAGATTGTTCAGAAAAACCTTTGAGCATATAATTCCTTCCATTGTCAAAGGATTTTTCGAACAGTTTAAAAGGCTCCCACCTGCTTTTGTTATGCTTGTGGCATAGACCCAGTGCTGTAGAACATAACTTGCCGTAGATGAAACACTCTCAAATAGTGAAATGTAATTGTAAAAAGTCATTACATGATGTCATAGTGTTTGCAAATAATATTACCACTTAACATGAACAAGTTTCTTTATCAATTTTGTAAACTAAAAATCTTTGTCAGGTTGGGGTGCTCTGTGCTCTGCAATGACCATCCATAATTTCATGAAGAATGCTCAATTTCCATGCACCCACCTCCCTAACAGCATTGAATGCACCATTTCTTGATTTTATGGTCATATGAGAAGATACAATGCATTTGGCTATGTTTTTCGAGCAACAAAAAATTCACATTTTCCTACATTGTAAAATTGCAACTTGCCATACGTATATTCTATGAGAATCCAAACATAAAAAGCGCAGGAAATCATCATGGAATTGTTGCCAAATGCTAGTTCAAAAATGGAGTTTCCAGTTGTTGTCACTTGGAAAGTTAATGTTTTAAAGTTTTCCAATTCACATCTTTTGAGGTATGCACTGCCGTTGTTTTTCTTATGTGTCCGATCAAATGTTTGTTACATCGTTGTTGCTGTCTTCATATCCCAAAATTAGGACATGGATTCCATATCAGAAGTCCTGAACATCATCAGTCAAGAGAATCCACTGTGGAAACCTAAAAACATAATGGTTGATTTTTCATTAGCTGAAATTGGAAATTGGAGCAATCAAACAGTGTATTCCAAGTAAGACGAAACAAAGCAATAGCCTTTTTTGAAGAAAATGCTTTTGCAATTTTCATCGAGAGAAGGCGTGGAACGAATGGATTAATTAAGCGCAGTAATGGAACGTATCTTTACAAACATGAGTTATTACAACTGCTGCGAAATATTGCAAATAGCACAAGTCAAATCGCATTACAGAAAATCATTGATGCATTGAAAAACAGCCATCTGTGGAAAGAATCGCTGCAACTGCAGAAATACTTTGATGAATTTTGGGGATTACACTTGCAGGTATTAATCTCTTCTATTTTATGCGTTTTAATATCAGTACGCTAAACTGCTCAAAACTGATACTACCTATCTAACCTATGTGTGTTTATATAAATATATACATTACTTTTCTAGAAATGGGTGCGTTTTTACAGGGATGAATCGTTGCGCGTTGCCATTTATACAAACAACGGAGTGGAAAGGCAAAATAACTGGTTAAAGGATTCATATTTAGAGGACAGACGAAATCATTCGATAAGTGATCTCGTCAATATATTACTCACACAGTTCCTGCCTGATAGCTACAAAAAGTATTGTGCATACTGTTTTTTTTTATAAGATGTTCGCAATCAGTGAGCTTTAACGATAATCAAAAAAGTATAAGTGTACTTACAATTTTCTCTTTATAGATATAAGGAACAGAATATCAAATCATCCGATTCGTACATGACTGCTTTCTTTCCACAACAGATTATTGCTCCAACTAAATCCAAAATGTTAGAAATAAGTGTGTTAAAAAAGCCAAACAAATTCAGGATGAGCTTTACATTTTGGATGATGAGAAAGTTTTGGACAAAACCCTGGAGATGTTACAAGAGGTAATACAATACACAAGAAAAAAAAATCATCCTGAGGAAAATGGAATTTCATTGAAAAACAAGTCTTTATCTCCAAAAAAGAAACAAATTTTAAAAAGTAGGTCACAATCTGTTTTGCCAAAACGAAAATGCAAGAGGTGTCCAGGTAAACAAGTGGGAAGAGCAGCTGATTTAAAAAGTGAAAAGATTGAAGTATTTGAAGAGAAGCTTGAAAAAGAAGAGAAGCATGAGAAATGCAAATTACAAGTAATTGAAGAGCAACTAGCAAAAAAGATGAAAATGAAGAACAATGAGAAAATTGAAAATTCTGAGGAGTGTTGGGTAGATATTCAAGGAATAAAGTTGTCATATGCTCAGAAAGACGTGCTTCTAAATCTAAATGGATGGCTTTCAGATGACCATATTGATGCAGCACAGAAATTAATAGGTGATCTTGGTACCGGAGTGGGAGGTCTAAACACAGTCGTAGCAGTCACATACAGTAACAAACTCATAAATATTCCTGAAAATATCACCCAAGCAATTCAATGTCATAATATTGGTCCCCACTGGGTGGTTTCTACATCCATAACTGGTGAAATAGTAGTCTTTGAATCTATGAGTACCAACCTGAATTCATCATTAAAAAGGCAACTCCAGAATGTTTACAAAAACCTTCAAGAACAGGATGTTTCTTTAAACGCCAAAGTGATTCTCCAACAACATCAAAAAGGATCATCAGATTGTGGTCTTTTTGCTGTGGCAAATGCTGTTGCTTTGGCTAATGGTGTGAACCCTTGCTCTGTTACCTGGATGCAGAAGAAGATGCTAGTGCATCTGGTCAAATGCTTTGAAGAACAAAAAATCGAGATGTTTCCCCACATTGAGAATGCAATGCAAACCTGCCATTCAAAAAATTATATTCTCTGAGAATATAGTAATTGTAAGCATCTAACATAAAAATAATCATGTATCGCTTCACTTTTGCTTGCAAACATCTACACTGTAATTGTTCAAATTGGAGCCCTTGACAAATCATGTATGTATATATCTGTAAATAGTATTAAACAAAATTAACATTTTCTGTTTGTGAATCATGGACATGGTATTTATTTTTACAAATAACTGGGGACATAAAACTAATACAGTCTAGATAATGTAAAAATAATAAATTTACCTTATAAATTTTACACAGTTGTGTAGCGCCCGGAAGATAGTTTGGTTTAGAAATCTGTTGTTTTTACAGTTAGTGAACAAAGAAATAATTGTATAGCAGAGCTAAATAAAACGGGCTGGATACGCCACAGTTACGTTCATTGTATATTGTTCATTGCTTCATCGAGTATCGTTATGATGTTTTAAAATCGTTGAGCATGTGACAATATATGTAAAATACAAAGAATACAAAACAATAAATGTGTAAAAAAGTAAAACTGTCCAAACCTGAAATCGAAAAAAGAATTCTTCTCGTGATTTAGCCGCATATCGGTTAAATACGCATATGAAACTTGTTATTCTCAATGGTTATTCTATATTTTAGTGGTTTGTCACAGCTTATAGGTAATTACCATTGGTAATTCATATACATGAATATTCGTCAATTGTTACTTACCGCTAAAATATTAAGAATAATATGTGGGCGCGTACGTTAGTTGACCATGATCTAGTGCCGACCATTGAGTTCTATAATAACTGGAGCGGCTATCTTTACTGGGGCGAGGTCGCCAAAAAAATGGCGGCCAAAGGACGTATTTCCGCTGAAATGATCGCTTTGCAGAAAAATAATATTCTCGACCTCCCCCTGGTGTCTATAGTAAATTATAAAGAATTTTTCAAAAACAAACACGATATCACAGAATATGGATATCGTTAGTTCCATATTCTGTGACGATTCTTTTTTGGCATTTCTTTTATATTGCCAACACTTCAATCGTTCATTTGTTGGATGTCGTAGTTTCCACAAAAAAGGAACATATCGCTTCTCACAGGTGAGGTAGTTGTTTGTTTTGTTAGTCCGTCAACGATTGAAAAGCAATTATACATGCACTTGAAAAGCCATAAAATACATATTAAAGATCGTATTTTTTAAGACTGACTTGAACGCCAAATATACTGATGTTTTCCTGTTTTTGTCTATAAAATTCTGCATACTTTTCTGTCATTTGTTAATGCATGAAATCGTAAATTTACCTATCTATTTGCAAAATAGTTTCCCTAAAGCAAAAAAGACCCTGCACACATTTTGCTCTGTGAGTAAGTATCAAAAGAAATGATCAGCCCCAACAGTACCCATGATTTGGAGCAGTTATGTTATATTTGCTATCAACATGCAGGGAAGACCAAGGAGTAAAGATGACTGGAAGATGTTATTGACCAGGCAGAGTCTTAAAAATGATACTGATAATGCTGTAAAGATAATTGATTTATTGTCTTCCTTATCCAGAGTTATTTAATTTGATCGTGGTCAAATTCTATGGATGGAGACAATGGATTCACTAATGATGCCTTGAATGCTTTGAAATTAAAGTTCATGAACCAAAAAAAGATGGCAAGAAGGTTGTGTGTTTTGATGCTTAATTAAATGTCAATTCACAACATATAAAATGAAAGGCCATAAAGTTTGTGTCTATGTAAACATTTGTACTGAGATTGATGGATTGATGACTCGATGCAGATGTGAAGCTTCAAACTGTATAAACCATTGGGTTTTATATAACTTAATGTTTAGATCATGTCATATCTTTATCAAAATATTTTAGTTGAGTGTTGTTTAAATGTTACTAATATCTAATGCACTATGCTGAAGCATTAAAGATTCAGTGATGAAACCTTTAAAATTACTGTACTGTATATTTCTTATATATTTCTTATATTTCTTTAAGAAACAGTTTGAGCTTATTTACCTATTAGAGTACAGAATGGAGATTTATCATATGCATCATTGCTGCTTTTTAAATAAATGTTTTCACTTTTCAAAGCTTTTCTACAAATATTTTGCTTCTTATTTCTTTTCATGAGATTGATGATATAGAGGTAATATAATCCAATAACTTTATAATTTCTAGAAAGCTTTTAAGCCTTGCCTTTTATTGCCTTGCTATGACATATCCATATGCATTTCATCATTCATGTATGAAGAAAACACCAAATGTGGATACTCAGAGAACAAAATGCACTACCAACTGCTTATGAAATTTATTATTGAAGTGAAAACTGTGTTAATCATTCAAATTGTGCACTTATATTGAAAATATAGGAAAAACAAAACAAAGTGAAAAAGAAGGGTAGAAGTATTGAAACTAAAAATGAATTATAAACACCATTGGAAGCATAAGTGTTTTGATGATTATTTGCATTTTGCCCAATTTATATATCAATACAACAAAATCAAAATGTGCTACAACTTTACAAGTATTTGATGCAGTTGCACTTCAGAACATCACAAAAGGTTACTTAAAGTAATTTCTATACAATATTGTTTGTTTTCATTTACCAAACCTATGCAGACTTGAGTCTTTTGAAATTTAGTATGAAACTCAATTACAGAAAATCCGTAAATATCCAGAGATTTAATATTTACTTTTTAAAGAAACAAGTAAAATCCTACAATTGTGGCGAAAAAGCCATTGCCTTACGAAAAGCAAAGTAGCAATGATAACAAATAAGCTAACTTCTCTCGTGAACCGTGGAGATGAGATATGATATACTTTTTGTATAGACCAGGGTCTCCAAACTACGGCCGCGGGCCAGATGCGCCCGTTGAGCCTCTCAATCCGCAGAGGCACTTAAGAAAAATAATAATATTATTAAACAAAATAAACTTTGTGCAGAAAGTTCACGTTATGTCGCAAGCCAACTAGCAAGAGTGGCTTACGTTAATTTTTCTCCCAACTTCCTACTTTCGTTTCAAGCACATTGCGAAATTTAAAAAGCTGAAGGATAACGTGGAAATTTTTTATATTCTTCGGCCCTCAACATGCTGGATGAAAGTTCATGTGGCCCTCTGGCTGTAAAGTTTGGAGACCCCTGGTATAGACTAAAGAGTTTAATCGATCAAACAAGTTTGACGCTGATAAGAAAACGACGCATATCTGCATGCATAGATGTGTAGCCGACATAGCTCTTTTCGATATTATTACATCCTCGTAGGAGCCGATAACTGGAAAGAGTTGACTCGCTGTTACAAATTCTAGGTTTACCTTGATTTTCAAAATTGCTTGCGAATCCCAAATACACATACATTTTCTTCGCTCTTTTCTCAGGAGTGGTTTGTGAAATTTTCGGAAAAAGCGATCAATCTCGGTAATTCATATAGGATGAAATTCGCCATTTTTGGCGTCATCAGATATCTAAGGCCGCGCTGATAGCGCCCAGTTATAGAACTCAATGGTGCCGACCATTGAGTTCTATAATAACTGGAGCGGCTATCTCAAGCGGCCTTAGATATCTGGTGACGCCAAAAATGGCGGATTTCGTCCGTTGCCGCTGAGATTTACCGAAATTGACCGCTTTCCGAAAATTTCAATTTCCCACTCCCTCCTGAGGAAAGAGTGAGGAAAATGTATGTGTGTATTTGGGATTTGGCAAGCAATTTTTTGATGAAAATCACGATAAATCCTACAATTCGTAACAGCGAGTCAACCTAGCTTTCCAGTTATCGGCTCCTACGAGGATGTATTTATAACTATCATAACTAACTGGCATCAGTGTTATCAAATACTTGGACAAGACTTTGTTCGAAACTTCGAATCATAGTAATCATGCAGTTTTGGTCCGGAGAGATTTGTGTTCAAGATTTGTAACAATTTAATGGTAGTGAGTGGTTTATGCCCCCCAATTTGATCCAAACATGACATTTTTTATTCTGAAAGATCACAAAATTTTCTTGCTCAGCAGAAAACGCAAAATGCAAATAATCATCAAAACACTTATGCTTCCAATGGTGTTTATAATTCATTTTTAGTTTTAATATTTCTACCTTTCTTTTTCACTTTGTTTTGTTTTTCCTATATTTTCAATATAAGTGCACAATTTGAATGATTAAAACAGTTTTCACTTCAATAATAAATTTCATAAGCAGTTGGTAGTGCATTTTGTTCTCTGAGTATCCACATTTGGTGTTTTCTTCATACATGAATGATGAAATGCATATGGATATGTCATAACAAGGCAATAAAACCAAATGAATTAAATACCTATTGTGTACTTTTATGCTAGAAGCTTAACAGCTTTCTAGAAATTATAAAGTTATTGGATTATATTACCTCTATATCATCAATCTCATGAAAAGAAATAAGAAGCAAAATATTTGTAGAAAAGCTTTGAAAAGTGAAAAAACATTTATTTAAAAAAAGCAGCAATGATGCATATGATAAATCCCCATTCTGTACTCTAGTAGGTAAATAAGCTCAAACTGTTTCTTAAAGAAATATAAGAAATATATAAGAAATATACAGTACAGTAATTTTAAAGGTTTCATCACTGAATCTTTAATGCTTCAGTATAGTGCATTAGATATTAGTAACATTTAAACAACACTCAACTAAAATATTTTGATAAAGATATGACATGATTTAAACATTATGTTATATAAAACCCAATGGCTTATTCAGTTTAATGCTTCACATCTGCATCAAGTCATCATCAATCTCAGTACAAATGTTTACATAGACACAAACTTTATGGCCTTTCCATTTTATATGTTGTGAATTGACATTTAATTAAGCATCAAAAACACACAACCTTCTTGCCATCTTTTTTTGGTTCATGAACTTTAACTTCAAAGCATTCAAGGCATCCATAGTGAATCCATTGTCTCCATCCATAGAATTTGACCATGATCAAATTAAATAACTCTGGATAAGGCAGACAATAAATCAATTATCTTTACAGCATTATCATTTTTTTAAGACTCTGTCTGGTCAATAACATCTTCCAGTCATCTTTACTTCTTGGTCTTCCCTGCATGTTGTCAGCAAATACAACATAACAAGCTCTGCTCCAAATCATGGGTACTGTTGGGGCTGATCATTTCTTCTTGATACTTTTCACAGAGCAAAATGTGTGCAGGGTCTTTTTTGCATTAGGGAAACTATTTTGCAAATAGGTAAATTTACGATTTCATGCATTAACAAATGACAGAAAAGTATGCAGAATTTTATGAACAAAAACAGGAAAACATCAGTATATTTGGCGTTCAAGTAAGTCTTAAAAAATACGATCTTTAATATGTATTTTATGGCTTTTCAAGTGCATGTATAATTGCTTTTCAATCGTTGACGGACTAACAAAACAAACAACTACCTCACCTGTGAGAAGCGATATGTACCTTTTTGTGGAAACTACTACATCCAACAATTGAAAGATTGAAGTGTTGGCATTATAAAAGAAATGCCAAAAAAGAATCGTCACAGAATATGGAACTAACGATATCCATATTCTGTGATATCGTGTTTGTTTTTGAAAAATTCTTTATAATTTACTATAGACACCAGGGGGAGGTCGAGAATATTATTTTTCTGCAAAGCGATCATTTCAGCGGAAATACGTCCGTTGGCCGCCATTTTTTTGGCGACCTCGCCCCAGTAAAGATAGCCGCTCCAGTTATTATTGAACTCAATGGTGCCGACCCGGGGTCCAGGCATTGAGCTCTATAAAACCTGTTATTATAGAACTCAATGGGTCCAGGCCCCTTTGCCCCTCCAGGTCTTATAGAGCTCAATGGTTGTTTCTCATTTGTTGACCAGAAAATAGTCGTATGTCACTCGTATGTACTCGTATGTTACTCGTATGTACTTGTATGTTACTCGTATGTACTCGTATGTCACTCGTACGTACTCGTATGTTACTCGTATGTACTCGTATGTACTCGTATGTACTCGTATGGTGTTTTAGTCACGATCGTGAGCAATAATAATACCTATGCTAATGTTAAATAACAAATGACAGGCAGAATTCTTCATCGACACTTCGTTCGCCGACTCCGAGTGCAAGCAAGAAATGGCTGCTTCATTGATCGTTCTGCTATATTTAACTCTATTTCACGCAGCTAGATGTTTCCCTAGCGGTGCACCTAGCTCACAATGCGAGAGTATGATGCCGAATCACGGTCTGCAGTCTCAAGCGGCTGCCAACAGTCCATATCAAGTTAGAGTTCATAAAACCTATTACACTAATGACTCAAAAATAAATGTATCCATCGAAAGCTCGAGTGACTATATCAAAGGCTTTCTTATTCAAGCAAGGCAAGTCGGTCAAACAACTGCAATCGGGATGTTTTCAGCACTACCAGGAAATACAACGTTTTTGAGTTGTGACAACAGCAAGGTAACAATAAAATTTGACATGCATTATAGGTACAACTAAGAGTTTTTTTTATCTTGTTTATGTTTGCTTTTCACGATCCAAAACTTGCCATTAGAAATCACACAAGTGGTCAACCTTTTACTTTTAGCTTGTAGAAAGGAGGCAAGCCTGACATTCCAAGCATGTTTGATATACGTCTTCAAAATCAAAGTATTGTGAGTTGACTTACCACCCACGTACTTTCGATATACAAGCAGTGTTTATTATTAAAGAAAAAGTAAATCAACGTTTTTCGTACTGTAACTTGAGCAATATATTTATATGACAAGGGCATATGACTTAATAATAACGATGATGTAGTTTGCTATGATGCAGTTTTAGTAGTGATGGGCCATACTGCTACTATCGATTCGATACTATACAGATTATTTTTTTCTTAAAGTATTGTGGAATCGATTGCCAAAGTGATTACTATCTTTAAATTCCAAAATAATATGTGTGAGGCACTTCTTAAATATCTAATGATGTGATTGGCATTGTATACTTGAGCAACACTCTTTATATGCACTTTGTACTCTTGAAGATATCATATTTTTAAATGATCAAAAGCTCAATTTTAAATTTCAATTAAAAAGAAAGTTTTCCGTGTTTCACTCAAATATGAACACTGTCAGTAACCTTTATCACACTAGACGTATTATTTAAAGGTTTGATGATATATTTCGACAACTGACATGTTGCTTGTTTGTCCGTATTGCTGATACTGCTACACCTGATTCTGTTCAGTATTGCAAGGTATTGATACCAAGATTGAGTAAACTCGGCTTTTATAAAAATGACTGAGAAAACCGGTCTACCGCTGAGAACTTGACGTCGTCTTCAGAAAGTCAGTTCTTAAGAGTAACGTGTACATTTTTTTCAAAAAGCTACATCTTAATATTTCAACTGCCAAAGTATTTTTGACCTTGCAAAAGCTCTAGCAAAAGCTCTAATTATTAAAACTAAACAAATATTGATTTTCATTTAATGTTTTAGGTTTAAAATACGTTTGCTTTCGCGTTTTCTAGCAAGTTATTTCGTTAAAAACTACCCCGTCCGCATGAATTACTACCCACACAATTTTTATCATTCCAGCAATTTTTCCAGGTGTTTTTTGTTTTCGGCAAGTTTCAAAACAACTTCAGTTATTCCTCGAAACATAATTTTTTTACATCGTACCTTAATTTAACTCAGTTAAAAACTTTTTACCATTATTTATGTTAAGATTTTGATAAGAACATTGCCGATATTTAAGGAATGAAACAAAGATAAGTATGCAAATAAAGTTTAGCAAACTAACTTGTTGCTCGACAATTGCTGAGATTCGCCTTCGATTAACAACTGAAGGTCAAACATTTATTGAGTTCTGACAAACGATTCGTACAGCAAACATTAGTACTACGCTAGCAATACGTATTTATCACTAGTCACTTTGAAGAAAATAAAATATTCTATAGCAACAAGAAATTTTTACTGTCTTAAAAATGCTAAGCCGACAACACGGCAGCGTCCTTTGTGGCAACATCTGTTCAAAACAGCTGTGTAAAATAGTTCTCTTTGTGCTGTTAAAAATAACATACGCTTTAAATAATACTCCCTTCCGATACACCCTTCCATTACGTTGTACATGTACATTATTTTTAGCCGCACCATTAAAGAACATTGCAAAGGCTTGGACACAGTTTTACTTCGATTACGCAAGTACAACTTACGTGTTAAGTTGTCGAAATGTACCATTGCTGCACAACAAGTTTCCTTTTTAGAACATGTCATTTCTGCATCTCGGATCCACCCAGATCCTGCTAAACTGGCTGCTGTCAGTGAAATCCCCCGCCCTATAACCCTTAAAGACATACGCAGTTTTTAGGTCTGGCTGGTTACTACCGGAAATTTATACCCAATTTTGCCTCTATCGCTTCACCGTTTGTCCGTCCTACTGAGAATAATGTCTCCTTTTGGTGGTCTGAAAAATTTGAGGATGCCTTTGTTGCTTTGAAATCTTTCCTTTGCTCAGCTCCTATTCTAGCGCGAATTCATGTTACAAAGAGACGCTTCCGACGTCGGTGTAGTCCTGTTGCATGTCGATGATAACGGGAACGAGAAAGTCATTGCTTATGCTCCAAAAGCCCTATCAGTGCGCCAGAAAAAGTTCTCTTCTACCGAAAAAGAAGCTTATGCAATAGTTTTTGGCACTCAACATTTCCGAGTTGTTACTTGTTAGGAAAGCATTTTAAGATTCTTACAGATCATAACGCCTTGCTTTGGCTTCATACGATGGAACCAAAAGGTCATTTGGCAAGGTGGATTCTTGATTTGCAAGAGTTTAGTTTTTCAATACTCCACCGACCAAGGCGCTTGCACAACAACGTATTGTCTATTGATCCTACTTTGAATTTGCATCATGAGCAACTAATGTCCCACCCAGTTTCTCGTAACGATTACATCCGAGAATTAAAAGGGGTATTTCGTGATATTCGGAAGATTGCAAAGAAACAGTTAATGTGCGTAACTGAGGAAAGAGCACGTCGAATACCAGAAACAAACACATAGCGGCCATTTCAAGAGGGTTAAACTGTCATGTTAAGAAGGCCTAATGGTTGGAAATTTGGGAGTAAATGAGAAGGGCCTTGCAAAATTCTAAAACGTACGTGAGTTACTTACAGAATTGTTTCACAGGGTGGTAAAGACAAAGTTGTTCATCATGATCAACTTAAACTAAGTTGTGTCCCTTTTCAACCGAGCGAAACAGTTTGCCCAACTAGTGAAGTAGGTGAGTTTCAGGTGATTGACAATATGCATGCACAAATGGAAAACCGCAGACTAAGGCTTTCTAGACTCAGATGACTTATTCGCTGATCGGTATGGATATACTAACATACTAACTAATTTGCTTGTGAGCATGTTCTCGGGACTAGAACACTTATGGAGGAGAGTGATGTGGCAAACATCTGCTCAAAACAGCTGTGTAAAATAGTTCTATTTGTGCTGTCAAAACTAACATACGCTTTAAATAATCCTCCCTTCCGATACACCCTGCCATTACGTTGTACATATACCTATTTGATATAAAATGCTCCCTTTAGTCATAGTTAACGCCTAATGTCTTACATTATAATTATTGCTACTAACATTAATAAAGTCAGTCTCGAGCTGGAATCGTTTCTGTTATCGCTACACCTTAACCCAGTCCTCCTCAATATTTAGACATCCTCTTCGACAGTCGTTAAAGTCGCGTCGTGTTTGTATACTACTGTATGACAATTTTAAAAAATATGCGTTTTCGAGTGTCAATAATTAGATAAATCAATAAATTCCACTCCGGGAATGCGTTTCGAACACTTCGCATGTCAAAATTGCATTTTACTTATAACCCTGCTATACACCTGCTGCAAGCATGCTAAATACAAATCTATCTCAAGTCATACGGATGCCTATATCATTCTTTTGGCGACTCAACATGCTATAGAAGCAGTAAAGTTTTACACGCTAATCCCAACAAATACCATTTCAAATAGATCGTGCTAGGTATATAATTACAGCCAAATTGATAGAACGTACCGAAGAATCGATTTCCTCTAACGTCTACAAGAAAGCAAAAATATTTTTTAAATTCAATTTACTTTTTACTGAACGTGTATAAAGTTTAGTGAATAGAGCATCTACACGGTCTCCCACACAAAGGGAAACCGCATAAGTTAATTATGAATTTCACTGAAATGACTATGCATAGTAATATCTTTAGCGTTCAAAAAACAGTTTATTGAGCTCAACTGTTCTGCACATCTTGAATTTCATTAGGTTTGTAAAGCACGCATTTAATACAGTGATTTTCATCTCGAATTTATCATACAAAAGCTTTTTAACATCAAAGCAACATTTGTTGAGATTCAAAGGCTGCAAAAACTTAATCACAATTTCCCGCCATAAATTTCTACGTACATGGACAGGGGCATGTAAATAAATTAACCAGACGGAGCAAATAGCATAAATTATCTATTTATGTCGATTTCTTTCAATGCATACATAATTATTTGTGCGGTCTCCGTTTTTTTGGAACACACTGTATATCGATTTTCTTCAAAGGGCGTAGGAATATTGATAATTGGGAGAGGGAAATATTCATAAATGCATCTTATAATACTCTGAAAACAATTGATGTCAAAAGAATTGAACAATTCATATCATGAGTACACTGTTTTCTTCCGGTATAGGGTGCTGTCACTCACTCCGCTCGCCTTAATGTAACGACGTTGACATTTGAATGGGAGGCACCAAAAGGTTTATCAGGTAAAATATCTTTCTACGCCACCGTCGTGAAGGATTTTTCCACATTCTGGGTGCAACTTCAGTCGCCTGTAATCACTAACAAGGTATAGTATGATATTAAATTTTGCATAAGTTTTCTCTATCACTCAGTTTGCGTAAAGTGTATGCAGGTAAAAGATATTCTTTTGGAAGTCATTTAAATTTGTTGTATATTCGTATCTCCACAGAACGGTAACGGAGCTGGCTCTAATGTTGTTAGTATGCCATTTATGTTCTTTATGGGACTGGCTGTTGTCTTGTTTCAAATGTGATTGGAAACTTCTCGATGGTGTTCTATCAAACATTGAAAGTTTTATACTCCATTGTGTTTATTCCTTGTATCCTATGCCAAATAAAAAACATTGCCCCATGACATGCATGTTTTATCCTTACGTTTTAAACAATAATCCCTTGAAGCACAAATGTTTATGTTGTCAAATATTTAATCATATTGTAGTACTTCATGTTTATGTATCAATAAAATGCTTATAAAATAAGAGAATTTTTTCGTGCCTGTTAGTGTCACTTTTTCTATGAAAAAGCGTCATGTAATAATAATTTACGTGTATAAAATACAAAATTAACATCTTCAACTCATTGCTTTTTACTTTGGCCTAATTTTTTGGCAGCCGTAATGTTACAACAATTTTCATACTTCAACAAGTAATAAATTTAAAATATGCATTCAATCATAGAAACCATGAACTGCAAAATAAGTATCATTTCAGCTTGAGTGTGGGCTGCCACTCGTAGCAACACACGTAGTAACCATGCAAAATAATATTTCTGATCACGAAACCGAATTATAGTTGTTCTTCATCTCCTTGCACCACCGCGTGGGTTTTGCCGTCATAAGTTTTGCTCCAAATACATTCAACAATCAAAGAGGCTATAAATGTCGACTTTGCATGTAGATTTTTAGTCAACAAAAAGCTGGAACTAAACAAAGTAGCCATTTATTTTACACAAACTTCTATCAAGTGATGATCTTGCTAATTTTTTTTAATTACAGTCCAAATATTTTCAAAATGATAATTGTATGTTTGTATAGGTCCATAATAGAATGGATGTTTTTAACGTTTTGTCAAGGCAGCAACAACAACATCAAATGTTTTTTCCCGTACACATTTCGGGATTGCATTCAGCAAATGCATGCACAGCGTTTGAAAAAAGGGCCAAAATTTGGTGCTGTCATTCGTATAAAACTAAAGTATTGCAAAACAAAATTACATTTATGTAAAGCCATGCTATAACGAAATTTATAAAAATGATACAGAACAAACTTCTTAAACATTTTTATGACTTTACGACCGATCGAAGCTCCTTGTCAAACTTATAGATATTCGAATATCTTACTTTTCTGGTTAATTATTCTTTGTTTAGCTGTCATACGATGCCTGAGAACTTAACTGACAAATGTAAATAAAATGGTGAGGAAACTTTTATTTAACAAGAAACTTGTGTTTGAGAGAAATTTATTCAGGTGAATGAAACTATGCGGAAAATTACTAACATGCAAGCGTGGAATATTTCAATGAATAATACTTTTAGTTCTTTGAAATCATCATTTCACATGTTTCCGCAAAAAGAGTCTGTATTTTCAATGTTAATGTTGATTGGTAAAATCCAAAATAATCGGGGAACTCGCTAGAAAAATTTAGTTTGTAAAGGAACATAGTTATGTAACTGCTACAAAGAATTTATTCCTAAGCAGTTACAAATGCAGGAGCAGCAAATGTTTTTAGGAGGGGTGTGTAGGCACAACAAAAAAATCATAAACTAGGTACCGCAGACCAAGTTGGGAAATGAATTTTCCTCATTTACTTTATCTGATATCTTTAAGCTCGCTTACATTTTTTCAATTTTTATAATTTTTACGCGCCCTGCCATCCACGTCAAACTCAGCGCTCGCGTAAGACTCGCCAATCTCAGCCCTAGCGTAAGCCTCGCCAATCTCAAAAACATTCGGTGAAGTCGGTAAATGGTAAAAAGATGACGAGTTTTCTGCGTTTTCGAAGTTGACGATTGTTGTTTTTCTACCGCCCCCGCAGTGCTATCATAACAAAAAATTTTACGTGACTTTGTTTTTGCGACGCTGCGTTGTGCAACAATAAATTAATATCTTTATGTTAATGTTGAAAACAAGTGACAAATTGATGAATAGTCTCATAAACAATAAGCATTCGTCAACCAAACTTTACGCAACAGAAATTCGCCGATTACGAGCAATATAAATGGCTGTTTTTGTCATTGTTCTTATATGTTTAACTGTTTTTCACGGAGTTAAATGTCGTCCTAACGGTGCACCTAGTTCACAATGCGTGAGTATGATGCCAAACCACGGTGCTGTCTCTCAAACAGTAGCTAGTCCATATCAAGTCAAGGTTGATAAAGCCTATTACATGTATGGCAAGAAAGTCAATGTATCAATCGAAAGCTCAAATGTCAGTATCAAAGGTTTTCTTATTCAAGCAAGGCCAGTCGGTCAAAACAGTGCAATCGGTATGTTTTCAAGACTACCAGGAAATACAAAGTTCGTAAGTTGTGGCAACAACAAGGTAATAACAAAAAATAAATTGAGGCTTTCCTTACTTTGCAAGTCATACATTATAAATTCACCCAGCATTGCTATTGCTTAAGAGAAGTCTTATCATGAGTAAAAAATCGTTGTTCTCAAATTTACAAAGTATATGCACATGTTCTTTAAAAGGTATAACTTGATGAATTTTTGCGTATCAGTAGGGTAGTTGCATGAAATAGGGGTATACTGCAGTAGATAGTTATTTTCTGTTTCACCTCAACATGATCGCCTTCGTGCTCGAATGACTTCATGCACTTCAAAGCATTTACCCAATGAAATGAATTAACTCTCTCTTCCCATGCTTTCACTCTGAAAAAGGAATGTCAAATACAGCTGAGTGAACACAACAATTATTTTTGCATATTTTGATTTTATTGATTTTTATTTAATGTTTTACGTTTAAAATACGTTAGCTTTCGCGTTTTCTAGCAAGCTATTTCGTTAAAAACCACCCCGCCCGCATGAATTGCTACCCACACAGTTTTTATCATTCCAGCAATTTTTCCAAGTATTTTTTGCTTTCGGCAAGTTTCAAAACAACATCAATTTTTCCTCGAGACATGATTTTTTACATCATACCTTAATTTAACTTAGTTAAAAACTTTTTACCAATATTTATGTTAAGAAGTTGATAAGAACATTGCCGATATCTAAGGAATGAAACAAATGATAAGTATGCAAATAAAGTTTAACAAACTAACTTCGATTAACAACTGAAGGTGAAATAAATATTGAATTCCGACAGCAAACGATTCGTACAGCAAACATTAGTATTACGCAGGCAATACGTATTTATCACTAGTCACTTTGAAGAAAATAAACTATTCTATAGTAAACAAGAAATTTTTACTGTTTTATAAATGCTAAGCCTAAACAAGTTGACAACACGACAGCGTCCTCTGTGGCAACATCTGTTCAAAACAGCTGGGTAAAATAGTTCTCTTTGTGCTTTCCAATATAACATACGCTTTAAATAATCCTCCCTTCCGATGCTTCCTTTCCATTACGTTGTACATATACATATTTGATATAAATGCTTCCTTTAGTCATAGTTAACGCCTAATGTCTTACATTATAACTATTGCTACTAACGTTAATAAAGTCAGTCTCTAGCTGGAATCGTTTCTGTTATTGCTACACCTCAACCCAGTCCTCCTCAATATTTAGACATCCTCTTCGACAGTCGTTAACGTCGCGTTGTGTTTGCACACTACTGAATAAAAACTTTAAACAATATGCGTTTTCGAGAGTTGATAAGTATATAAATCAGTAAATTCCACTCCGGGAATGCGTTTCGAATACCTCGCATGTCAAAATTGAATTTTACTGAAAACCTTGCTGTACACCTGCTGCAAGCATGTCAAATACAAATCCATCTCAAGTCATGCGAATGCGTACATCATTCTTTTTGCGACTCAACATGCTATAGAAGCAGTAAAGTTTTACACGCTAATCCCAATAAATACCATTTCAAATAGATCGTGCTAGATATATAATTACAGCCAAATTGATAGAACGTACCGAAGGATCGATTTCCTCCAATGTCTACAAGAAAGCAGAAAGATTTTCTTAAATTCGATGAATAGGTGTATGTTACTGCAGAAAAAAGTGGATTTCCTTTTTAGTGAACGTGTATAAATTTTAGTGAATAGAGCATCTACACGGTCACCCACAAAAAGGGAAACCGCATAAGTTAATTATGAATTCACTGAACTGATTATGCATAGTAATATCATTAGCGTTCAAAACAGTTTAATGAGCTTAACAGTTCTGCACCTCTTGAATTTCATAAGGTTTGTTAAACATGCATTTAAAGCAAAGCAAGTTAAAAGTAATTTATACAGTAATTTTTCATCTCGAATTTATCATACAAAAACTTTTTAACATCAAAGCAACATTTGTTGAGATTCAAAGGCTGCAAAAACTTAATCACAATTTCCCGCCATAAATTTCTACGTACATTGACAAGGGCATGTAACTAAATTAACCAGACGCACATGCATAAATTACCTATTTATGTCGATTTCATTCAATGCATACATAATTATTTGTGCGGTCTCCGTTTTCTTTTGAACACCCTGTATATCGATTTCTTCAAAGGGCGTAGGAACATTGATAATTGGGTGAGGGAAATATTCATAAATGCATGTTATAATACTCTGAAAACAATTGATGTCAAAAGAATTGAACAATGCATATCATGAATACACTGTTTTCTTCTGGTATAGGGTGCTGTCACCCACTCCGCTCGCCTTAATGTAAGGACGTTGACATTTGAATGGGAGCCACCAAAAGGAATATCAAGTAATATATCTTTCTACGCTACCGTCGTAAAGGATTTTTCCACATTCTGGGTGCAAATTCAGTCTCCTGAACTCCATATAAAGGTACGCATATCCAATTCTTTAATTTCTCTACAAAAAGACCGTAATGTGCGACGTCGCTTAGCCAGCCTGCAAATTTGCTCGTGCAATGTGAGTGTTTTGGTTTTCACTTATAAAACAATAGATTTCTAAAGAAAAAAAAGATAATTACCAGGTTTGCACAGACTTTATAAGCAGATCAGTGCATGTCCGAGAGCGAATGTCGTTTTATTTCTTTTATGAAACGACAATAATGCAAAAAAGACAAATTTCAAACAAACGTTTCAATTTTTCATCTAAAATATTTTCATGATTGATTGGCCAGTACTTTTGTTACGTGATTCTTTTAATTGTTCATTTGACCGAAGATCTGTTCTGCACAAACTAATGCAAACACAGCTATAGACCATTCAGCCCCGCGTTTTATTGAGTTTATATAACGTACATGAATATTATTCATTACTAGAAATTTTGGAAAAGATGGCGCGCGGAACAAAACAGCTACTATACTTCAAACTATATGTAGAATACAACAAAATGGAAAATTTGGCCTGTCGTTGTTTTAGTTTTTGCCCGATCACACCTCTCTATGTTTGTCTCTAAGCTACATGTTGAATTCAAAATCTTAAACGTAGCAGCAATTCTAAATGGTTCCCCACATTCAAAGATTTCGTTCACCACTTGCCCTTGTTTTCCTATGATAACGTGGCAATATTTCAAACAGAGAGCAATATTATATCATCAAAGAGTTCAAGCAATCCAAAGAGCTCATGAAAGCTTAGTTTTGCTCACATTACGATGGTTCACGAGGCATTTGAATCTTTCATTTTTTGGTGGTACTGGTATAAAATATGGTATTAAATCAGGGCTGTAATCAGAAGTTCATTGAAGGACTCATATAGACAATGGTGCCCAACTTATTTCATTGGACTCGGTCAATTCCTTAAGGGAATTGGCTTTCAATAGAAATCTGTTGGGTACAAATGACTATATGAATATTCACCCATACCCTGTTCTAGCGACGGCCCTGATTGACATGGGCAAGTTTATTACCTATAGGTTTCAAAACAGCTAAGAATAGCAAAATAAGGTATTATGCTTATACCGAAGTCAACGTGTTTCTTGCTCAATACGTATGCCAGCCAGGGTACTAGCGGCCCAGCCACATTCTTTTGAAAATGTTTTGTTCTTAATGTAATCTTTTTGCTTAGATTTTGCTATATCCAATTGCCTCTAAATTTTCTCATAAGGTAAAAAATCCTTCTACTTCAAATCAGACGACATCGCCAACAACCATGAAATATAGATATACGGATAAAATGAGCTGCAGTAATTTATTTTGACCTACCCTAAATCCGCCACTGAGCACTAGAGAATGACGTTTGCCTGGAAAAGAGAAAAATGAAACAGATTGGACATTGAAAAATGTTAACCCCCTTCAAAATTGCTTGCCAAAGATTCGAAATTATCAAATAAGATTTCCCGTTCATTTTAAGAGTTTTTCTATAATCTGTTGTGTGCGTGGAACAAGAGGTTTCTACGACAGTCTTGTATGCTATCTTTTGATTAATTAGACTCATTTTCTGCTGTAACTAAATCTTATTCTCAGTGAGACCACATCGTGACTTTGATATATTTTCGTAGGAATCGTAATTTATGATGACTGTATCGACTACCACAAAAAAGGATGCAGGTAAATTGCAAATGCCAATGCTGCGGGAACATGTTTTTGCGCGTAACAATTTTGGTCTCACGTCCTCACGACTTTCTAACCCCCTTCCCTCTCAAAAAACGTTTGCCTTTCGTTTTGTGATCTGTCTTTCTTGCCGGTCCTAACTTGTATGGTGTTCATTGGAGAATCCATATTCCATTAGTTCGATTATGTTTTGTCAATTCTTTCATATTTTTTTCCTCCAATCAATGCATTACGGCCCGTTCACACGCTCCGATTTATCGGATCCGATTTTGTAGGATCCTTATGAACGGATCGTGTGAACACATATAAAAAGAGCCTCCGATAGTCGGATCCGTCAATCTAAAAAATCGAATGGAAACAGAACTTGCTCTATTTTCATCCAATAAGATCAAAGGAAGTCGACTAGATTTGAAAATTACATAGATTTGAAAAACTTGAAAACAAGAATAAAATACAAAAAATATATCAATAAATGTACTGGATAACACAAACAACTGTTCACACGACTATAAATAAAAACAAATACAAATATCAACAAAATTATCGGACCGTCTGAACAAACAACCAAACCAAATGTCGGATGTATGTCAACGTTTCCATGCAAATCAACGTGGGGAATTTTACTTTGTAGCCCTGAATATTGGTCTTATATCAAAGCAAGAACGCCAATGGGTTATTACAATGAAAACAACAAACCGCCATGTGAAAGGCGCACTTCTTCACAAATTTGTGGTGGATACGGCTGGACAAAACTGGGAACAGTTAATGCGACCATGATGGTAAGGACATTGTTAGGGTAATGTTCAAGTTAAAAAATTCGCTCATACACACATCTATTCATACGGGTAATGGTTTCATAACTGATGTGAGCAAACATGTAAAAATTTATTCATTAAAATTTAAAAACATTTCTTTTTATCACTGTGCTAATAAGCCAAAAAACAAACAAACAATGGAGTAAAAACTTAACTAACTTTAAGTGGACCAAGCTAAAGATTTGCAGACAAAATAAATATATGACGAGTTATAATGCAAATTAAATAAGAAATTATCAGTGTTCCTTTACAATGTTACTTAAATATTTAAAGATTGTTATAATTGATAACATGCATGTTGACAATTATAGTGCCTATAACATTATGTACGTATCAAGGAAAGAACCCCTTTAGATAGTCAAATCAATTTTATGAATATTTGCAATGTATGTGACTCGTCTTAAAAGAAGGCTCTTTGACCCTGATGAATAGACCCTTTTGGGATGAACGTCTTGTTCTTGGTATCATGAATGCCAAGAGTGTTTAGTAAGTCATGGTGGTTTTGGCGGGTGCCGTTAACTAAATACGAGGCGTTCACAGTGTTTATCATTTTGGGGTAAATAAATGAAAGCAAAACTCATTAAATATACTGTTTCTAAGCACAATCTAAAAACCTCTATTAGGATATGGTAGTACAAAGAGGGAGTATCTGAAAGAGAAGTAAAGTTTATAAGGAAAAGGTGTCGCGTTTACAAAGGGGGGTGATTTTTATTACAAATGAGGCGTTTATTTGGTAGTTGGCGTTTATTAGATCATTTACAGTTTTCTCAATGTTTTTTTTTGTAATGTTCGCGTTGACATTGCATATGCTTGTTTATATTCATCCTCACTATTGGCTGAGGAAGTAAGCATTTTTTTGATCAGAAAATTACTTTCTTTATTAGGATACTTCTTACAACTCTGCTATGTGGACATCAAAAGGACCGTATCAAACAGCATTTAATCCTATGTTTTGGAGCACATATGTCAACGAAGTGTGTGTCATGGCCGGTGGCATCCATTATAATATTTCAGTTAAGGCTCCTTCGATGCGTAGTCTGTTTTTTGAGAAAAAAAAATTGAACTTGTCTTCCCAAGAATGGTTGAAAGGTATCAAAAATTACAATTACACAACAAAGTTTAACTTTGTCCCAGGCTGCTACGAAGCGGGCTTTAACGTTGGGGATCATTACAACTCGACATCTTTGCGCGCACGCTTTGGAATTGTTAGCCTGAAGAAAAAAGGTGGGTGTTTGGCGAAAGTTATATCAAATAACATCAGTAAAATAAATACATCTTGCTGACGAAGTTGATTGAATTGCTAAAGAAATATCAAATATCAAATCGATTCTTTTAACATCGGCACTACATTTCGAAAAAATCAAGACTGTTTACCTGGTAAATTGAACGGTTTGAATCCGGAAGTATCTTTAGATGTTTGTACATGTAGATCGTCCATGTTAGTTGAGTACTGGAAAGGACTGTTAGAGTTAATGTTGACTGACGCTTCGACAACCCTAGCGGTCGTCATCTTCACACTGAAAATGACTTCCGCTTAGGTTGTCAAAAGTCATTCAACACCAACACCAACTGGAAGTCCTTAACGGGACTCTCGAAACCTAGATGATCTACATCTACAAACATCTAACAGTTTATCTAGGTCACTCATACATGCCAAGTCTCACGTGTTATAGGCTTATGACACACGATTCAGCATCAAGTCTCATAATACGATGTATTCCACACGAAAAAATAAAGTTACAAAAAAGAAAATTTAAAATATAGCAAAATCACACATGGCAGTCGCAAAATGTTTTAACAGTTTTGAAAACAGCTTTCTATAAATTGTATTATTGATTGCCTTTAACTCTGCTCAATTTTTAATATAATAAGGCTTTCTGTTTCTCGAAGATTGTAAAATATGTGTAGTACCTAACAAATTTTTCATGACCTTAGAGGTCGATAGTGAAATTCTATCTCACCCTTTAAAAGGAAAGATTTTTATGGCTCATAAGGGACTCTATAACTGTAGTTGGACACTAACGTATTATTATTATTCCAAGAAATGCCCCGAACCCAAGTTTTAGACTTGTTGGACCGTGAGCAATCTCACGCATGGCCAAATTTGAACCTTGGCATCTATGGTCACTCACCAATGCAGCATGTTCAACGTACAATGTAGAAGTTCCTTATATTAAGTTTAAGATGATACACAACTTGATATTAAGATTAATACAACTTTATTGATCTTTTGGCAGGCTGTCCCAATAAAGACCAAGCGATTGGTATCGGACTGCACATTCCAGGAAAATACCGTCCGTTGTCAATATACTCAATCGGGTCCTGGTATTCAACAGAAGTAGAAACCGATTACATCAAAATTTACGTGCGCTCTCGTTCCGTCAACTAAAGTCCATCATATTAATGACAAATACGTTCCCTTTAAAAATAATGAAAAAAAACAAAAATTCGGCTAAAGTTTTAAATGCAAATCCTAAGTCAATGATTGTGTTTCTACCGATTGTTGTTGGAAGTATAGTCACCGGAATAAGGCTTTTGGCGGTGAAGATTGCGTATTAACTCTGGGATTTGGATTTAAAATAGAAACAAAATGGTGGCGATATAACTTAATGATGTATTACATTCATACTATTCAACTAAATGACAAGCACTACATTCCGCACAAGGACTTTCCTGTGGACTCACATATAATAATTCATGAGAATTTCTTAACAAATCAATATTTTTTAATGATTGCATAATTATATTACGAAACGGATATATATATGGTATAAGTTGTATCTCGTAATAAATAATAAATATAGTCATCTATCAGTACTATAATAATATAATTATATATAAATATTTTTCAGTCACCTTTAGAGTCTTTTTGTATGAGTACACGTATAGTCAGTGGCAGATCTATTATAAGTCATGTAATTTACGCAACTTACGTATACATTTTACCAAGAAACCACAATTTTTCAAATCAATTTCCAAATCTGATCGTCTATCTTCTTGGAGACTGCTCAACATTAGCAAAGTTTTCTGTAGAAGTCCAAGTTCAGCTTTCTGCGATTTTTTTTTACTAATCACATGTTTCGCTATAAAAAGCGATAAAATCTTAACAGTACCCTCATTTTTACCAAATCTGGTAACTTGGCTCGTAAATGGGGTGGCCTGACTTGCTTAAGCTCTTAGTGTAGTCGAAGAGGCCTATTGACCAATCACAAAGACACAAGAAATTCATTAATATCGGGATCAGCGCAGGGAATAATTTTAATCATCGAAGAAAAGTGTTGAGAAATTTCATTTTAAACAATTGAATAAGTCCATGGCAAATATTAATGTTCTATGCAGTGTTCAAAACGACATTTTGAGCGACAAAATGAAATCCGTCGATCAATGAATAATGTGTACATAGAAGCGGATAGCGATGTTGTTTCCCCTGCAGCTATCACTTGTAGTAAGTGGAGTATTATCTTTTAAAATTTATGCATCTAGTAAAAATCATGCGATAAATATTTTCAATTTTCATTCCAATCGGTTTCCTTCAACTATGATTAGGTGTAATATCATGTGTAATACATGACTTTCAGGTATATCTTCTTAAATATCTTAATTATGTGTTATATTTCCTTCAAATTTGTCGTCTTTGGAATGTTTCAGCCAAGTAAATTCAGTCCTATACGATTTTATGATATCATTGAGTGTCCTTTTATCTGGCAAAACTATATGATACACTTCTCTCATTTTTCCCTCTCCTCTCTTCTGTCATCCGTCTTGTTTAGAATGTTTTCAAAGTGTTCAACTCCTTTACTTTTCCTTTTGTGCATGAAAATCAATTCATTTTCACTCTCGTTTTACATCTTTTCCTTTTTCGTCCATTCGTTTTTCAACTTCAAGAGCTCCCTTTCCATTTCCTTTGTCTTCATCCGCTGATGCAACTCATCAAAAAAAACAGTTGCTTTGCTTTTGCTATACTGCTTGAGAATTGCTGCTTTTTGTTCTCTTACATTAGTCCTTACTAACCTCACATGATTAAAGTTCTACTGTTTTTTGTTCAAATTTTCATGTATCTCTTTAAGTTTTACTTCCGCCTTTTTCATGTTTTTCCCGAAACATCTTTTGCGATGATTTTCAATTGCAACACTGCATGTTTACGATAATCAATGCTGTTCAGATACTATTCAAAAGAAGTAATAATAATAACAGCTAATCTTTATTGAGGATGCCAACATCACTAAAAGTTGTTTACAGAGGGGTCCTCTAAAAGTAAATAAATATAATATAACTACTTAAAAAGAAAAAGAAAAAGAATACAAATCGAAAAATATGAAGATAAAACTACATCATTTCAAAATTAACATGCGAAAAACAAAACTAATTAAAATAGTGCTTTCTTGATACCACGCTTAAATTGGCTTAAGGTGGGCACATCTCTTAGGGAAAGGGGTAAGGCATTCCAAACGTCCGCTGCAAAATTTATTGTTATCCAGTGCCCCATCTTCTGTGTGCTAATGATTTGCGGATATTTCGCTTTGAACAAGTATTATAGTTATGATAGTTACTGTTAAAACAGCAGTGAAAAGTTTGCATAAAAAGGTTATTAACTACCTGTAAACTTTGGTTCGTAGTTTTAGATTGTCGTGCTTTACCAAACAGTTAAGAAACTTGAAGAGTTCCGTTTATTTTGAAATCTAAATCTTTGGTAAATTGTGTATGGCTTTTTGGTTTGTTGATGTGAATGTGAAAGTCTTATCTGCGTGTAGTGCTGTGATTTATCGTCTACGTAGCGGAACCAAAAAAATAGTGCATGTTGGTGAGTCGCGAGCATTCGTTCTTCTACAGTCTGTAGGAAAATTTTAGCAACAGTGATTTGGCGTCAAAAGACGGCTGTTTATCTGTTGGTTATATGTATGGTTTTTAGTTTTTAATGAAGGTTTCAGTTGATTGTAATCTTCATTTTGATTTGTTTGTAGGTGGGTGCAGTATATGTCTGTCAAGTATTTTGATAGTTGGTAAGTATAGGCTAATTCAGGATATCTGTTGAAACATCATTATAAAAAGGTTTTACGGGAATTATCGCAGAAGCATATGGAAGAGCGATCATCATTGCTAGTTCATATTCAAAGTCGAACAATATTACTTTTAACAGTTATTTCTGTTTTAATATTTTTACTTGAACCACAGAATAGATATATACAGAAGCGCCACTCAGCGAAAAATCTGTCCCCTACTTGTACCCAGTTCTTAAGTGCGCATCTTTTGCGTCCGCCATTACTCCAGCCAGATAAACTGGCCAGAATGTATATATATTAATATTATGAAGAGTTGTTTTTCGAAAATTTGACGAATTTAAATTCACTTATGGACAAAATTTTTAATGCCATCGGATAGGATACCAAGCATATGAGGTGAAAAACAGTTTTGTTGTAAAATACGTTCTTCAAATATAATTTTACGGGTTTTATAGTTTCTTGCCTTGAATTGTATGCGAGATCCATGTTTAGAACGAACGCCCACAACGCCCTTTCTTTAATAATCTGGCCCTGATTATATTATACTAGACTAATGATAATCAGTTGTCATAAACAGGTGTCTTCAAATGTTCCAACTAAAAGTTGGTCGGTATTTCCATGCAGTCGTTTATAGAAAGATGTAGAATATTTTGAGAACCAAATTAAAGAATTTGATTTAATTGCCACCATAGTTCATGTACAACATATTTATGTAATTTTCACAAAAAATATTTAGTCCCGATGTTGCTTCGATCGTTGACAAAGGAAACCCTGCCGGACATTTTTCTAACGAGATGTGTGTAATGATAATATACATATGCAAATGTTAAAAACGAATGACAGATGTTTATAATTACGATCATATATTATTAGCATTTGTCATCGACGCTAAACATGAAAAAATTCATCGAGCATAAGCTACAAATGTCAGTTTCTGTAATCATTTTTCTCTTTTTAACTCTATTCCATGTAGCTAGATGTCATTCTGACGTTGCTCCTGACTCGCAATGCGTGAGTATGATGCCAAGACACGGTGTTCCGTCTCAAACAGTTAACAACTGAAGGTCATATATTTATTGAATTCCGACAAACGATGCGTACAGCAAACATTAGTATTACGCTAGCAATACGTATTTATCACTACTCACTTTGAAGAAAATAAAATATTCTATAGTAAACAAGAAATTTTTACTGTCTTAAAAATGCTAAGCCAAAACAAGTTGGCAACACGGCAGCGTCCTCTGTGGCAACATCTGTTCAAAATAGCTGTGTAAAATAGTTCTCTTTGTGCTGTCAAAAATAACATACGCTTTAAATAATCCTCCCTTCCGATACACCCTTCCATTTGATATAAAAAGCTTCCTTTAGTCATAGTTAACGCCTAATGTCTTATATTTAAAATATTGTTACTAACATTAATAAAGTCAGTCTCGAGCTGGAATCGTTTCTGTTATTGCTACACCTCAACCCAGTTCTCCTCAATATTTAGACATCCTCTTCGACAGTCGTTAACGTCGCGTCGTGTTTGTACACTACTGAATAACAACTTTAAAAAATATGCGTTTTCGAGAGTCGATAAGTAGATAAACCAGTAAATTCCACTCCGGGTATGCGTTTCGAATACCTCTCATGTCAAAATTGAATTTTACTTAAAACCTTGCTGCACACCTGCTGCAAGCATGCCAAATACAAATCCATCTCAAGTCATACGAATGCGTACATCATTTCTTTTGCGACTCAACATGCTATAGAAGCAGTAAAGTTTTACACGCTAATCCCAATAAATACCATTCCAAATAGATCGTGCTAGGTATATAATTACAGCCAAATTGATAGAACGTACCGAAGGATCGATTTCCTCCAACGTCTACAAGAAAGCAGCAAGATTTTCTTAAATTCAATGAATAGGTTTATGTTACTGCAGAAAAAAGTGGATTTCCTTTTTCGTGAACGTGTATAAATTTTAGAGAATAGAGCATCTACACGGTCACCCACAAAAAGGGAAACCGCATAAGTTAATTATAAATTCACTGAAATGATTATGCATAGTAATATCTTTAGCATTCAAAACAGTTTAATGAGCTCAACAGTTCTGCACCTCTTGAATTTCATAAGGTTTGTAAAGCATGCATTTAAAGCAAAGCAATTTAAAAGTAATTTATACAGTTATTTTCATCTCGAATTTATCATACAAAAGCTTTTTAACATCAAAGCAACATTTGTTGAGATTCAAAGGCTGCAAAAACTTAATCACAATTTCCCGCCATGAATTTCTACGTACATGGACAAGGGCATGTAAATAAATTAACCAGACGGAGCAAATAGCATAAATTATCTATTTATGTCGATTTCTTTCAATGCATACATAATTATTTGTGCGTTCTCCGTTTTTTTGGAACACACTGTATATCGATTTTCTTCAAAGGGCGTAGGAACATTGATAATTGGGAGAGGGAAATATTCATAAATACATGTCATAATACTCTGAAAACAATTGATATCAAAAGAATTGAACAATGCATATCATGAATACACTGTTTTCTTCTGGTATAGGGTGCTGTCACCCACTCCACTCGCCTTAATATAAGGACGTTGACATTTGAATGGGAGCCACCAAAAGGAATATCAGGTAATATATCTTTCTACGCCACCGTCGTGAAGAATTTTTCCACATTCTGGGTGCAACTTCAGTCGCCTGTAATCACTAACAAGGTATAGTATGATATTAAATTTTGCATAAGTTTTCTCCATCACTCAGTTTGTGTGAAGTGTATGCAGGTAAAAGATATTCTTTTAGAAGTCATTTTAATTTGTTGTATGTTCGTATCTCCACAGAACGGTAACGGAGCTGGCTCTAATGTTGTTAGTATGCCATTTATATTCTTTATGGGACTGGCTGTTGTCTTGTTTCAAATGTGATTGGAAACTTCTCGATGGTGTTCTATCAAACATTGAAAATTTTATACTGGATTGTGTTTATTCCTTGCATCTTATGCCAAATAAAAAACATTGCCCCATGACATGCATGTTTTATCCTTACGTGTCAAACAATAATCCCTTGAAGCACAAATGTTTATGTTGTCAAATATTTAATCATATTGTAATACTTCATGTGTATGTATCAATAAAATGCTTATAAAATAAGAGAATTTTTTCGTGCCTGTTAGTGTCACTTTTTCTATGAAAAAGCGTCATGTAATAATAATTCACGTGTATAAAATACAAAATTAACATCTTCAACTCATTGCTTTTTACTTTGGCCTAATTTTTTGGCTGCCGTAATGTTACAACAATTTTCATACTTCAACAAGTAATAAATTTAAAATATGCATTCAACCATAGAAACCATGAAATGCAAAATAAGTATCATTTCAGCTTGAGTGTGGGCTGCCACTCGTAGCAACACACGTAGTAACCATGCAAAATAATATTTCTGATCACGAAACCGAATTATAGTTGTTCTTCATCTCCTTGCACCACCGCGTGGGTTTTGCCGTCATAGGTTTTGCTCCAAATACATTCAACAATCGAAGAGGCTATAAATGTCAACATTGCATGTAGATGGAACTAAACAAAGTAACCATTTATTTTACACAAACTTCTATCAAGTGATGATCTTGCTAATTTTCATTAAATACTTTCCAAATATTTTCAAATTGATAATTGTATGTTTGTACATGTCCATAATAGAGTGGATGTTTTTAACGTTTCGTCAAGGCAGCAACAACAATATCAAATGTTTTCTCTCGTATATTTCGGGATTGCATTCAGCAAATGCATGCGCAGCGTTTGAAAAAAGGGCCAAAGTTTGGTGCTGTCATTCGTATAAAACTAAAGTATTGCAAAACAAAATTACATTTATGTAAAGCCATGCTATAACGAAATTTGTAAAAATGATACAGAACAAACTTCTTAAACATTTTTATGACTTTACGACCGATTGAATCTACTCGTCAAACTTATAGGTATTCGAATATCTTATTTTCTTGTTAATTAGTCTTTGCTTAGCTGTCATACGATGCCTGAGAGCTTAAATGAAAAATGTAAAATAAATCGTTTCGAAACTTTTGTTTAACAAGAAACTTGTGTTTGAGAGAAATTTATTCAGGTGAATGAAACTATGCGGAAATTTACTCACATGCAAGCGTGGAATATTTCAATGAATAATACTTTTAGTTCTTTGAGATCATCATTTCGCATGTTTCCGCAAAAAGAGTCATTATTTTCAATGTTAATGTTGATTGGCAAAATCCAAAATAATCGGGCAACTCGCTAGAAAAATCTAGTTTGTAAAGGAACATAGTTATGTAACTGCTACAAAGAATTTATTCCTGGTGCTATTCAAAAGCAGGAGAAGCAAATTTTTTGATTTTTAGGAGGGTTGTGTGGGCGCAACAAAAAAATCATAAACTAGGTACCGCAGACCAAGTTGGCAAATGAATTTTCCTCATTTACTTTATCTGATATCTTAAGCTCGCTTACATTTTTCCAAACTTTTCATATTTTACGCCCCCTGACATCCATAGCTTTGTCAAACCTCAGCGCTAGCGTAAAACTCGCCAATCTCAGCGCTAGCGTAAGACTCGCCAATATCATCGCTAGTGTAAGACTCGCCAATCTCAAAAACATTCGGTGGTCTCGGTAAATGGTTAAAAGGTTGATGAGTTTTCTGCGTTTTCAAAGTTAACGACTGTTGTTTTTATAACACCGCCCACGCAGTGCTATAGTAACGAAAAATTTTACGTGACTTTGTTTTGGCGACGCTGCGTTGTGCAACAATAAATTAATATCTTTATGTTAATGTTGAAAACAAGTGACAAATGAATGAATAGTCTCATAAACTATAAGCATTCGTCAACCAAACTTTACGCAACAGAAATTCACCGATTACGAGCAATATAAATGGCTGTTTTTGTCATTGTTCTTATATGTTTAACTGTTTTTCACGGAGTTAAATGTCGTCCTGACGGTGCACCTAGTTCACAATGCGTGAGTATGATGCCAAACCACCGTGCTGTCTCTCAAACAGTAGCTAGTCCATATCAAGTCAAGGTTGATAAAGCCTATTACATGTATGGCAAGAAAGTTCATGTATCAATCGAAAGCTCAAATGTCAGTATCAAAGGTTTTCTTATTCAAGCAAGGCCAGTCGGTCAAAACAGTGCAATCGGTATGTTTTCAAGACTACCAGGAAATACAAAGTTCGTAAGTTGTGGCAACAACAAGGTAATAACAAAAAATAAATTGAGGCTTTCCTTACTTTGCAAGTCATACATTATAAATTCACCCAGCATTGCTATTGCTTAAGAGAAGTCTTATCACGAGTAAAAAATCGTTGTTCTCAAATTTACGAAGTATATGCACATGTTCTTTAAAAGGTATAACTTGATGAATTTTTGCGTATCAGTAGGGTAGTTGCATGAAATAGGGGTATACTGCAGTAGATAGTTATTTTCTGTTTCACCTCAACATGATCGCCTTTGTGCTCGAATGACTTCATGCACTTCAAAGCATTTACCCAATGAAATGAATTAACTCTCTCTTCCCATGCTTTCACTCTGAAAAAGGAATGTCAAATACAGCTGAGTGAACACAACAATTATTTTTGCATATTTTGATTTTATTGATTTTTATTTGATGTTTTACGTTTAAAATACGTTAGCTTTCGCGTTTTCTAGCAAGCTATTTCGTTAAAAACCACCCCGCCCGCATGAATTGCTACCCACACAGTTTTTATCATTCCAGAAATTTTTCCAAGTATTTTTTGTTTTCGGCAAGTTTCAAAACAACATCAATTTTTCCTCGAGACATGATTTTTTACATCATACCTTAATTTAGCTTAGTTAAAAACTTTTTACCATTATTTATGTTAAGAAGTTGATAAGAACATTGCCGATATCTAAGGAATGAAACAAATGATAAGTATGCAAATAAAATTTAACAAACTAACTTCGATTAACAACTGAAGGTGAAATAAATATTGAATTCCGACAGCAAACGATTCGTACAGCAAACATTAGTATTACGCAGGCAATACGTATTTATCACTACTCACTTTGAAGAAAATAAAATATACTATAACAAACAAGAAATTTTTACTGTCTTAAAAATGCTAAAGCCAAAACAAGTTGACAACACGGCAGCGTCCTCTGTGGCAACATCTGTTCAAAACAGCTGGGTAAAATAGTTCTCTTTGTGCTTTCAAAAATAACATACGCTTTAAATAATCCTCCCTTCCGATGCTTCATTTCCATTACGTTGTACATATACATATTTGATATAAAATGCTTCCTTTAGTCATAGTTAACGCCTAATGTCTTACATTATAACTATTGCTACTAAAGTCAGTCTTGAGCTGGAATCGTTTCTGTTATTGCTACACCTCAACCCAGTCCTCCTCAATATTTAGACATCCTCTTCGACAGTCGTTAACGTCGCGTTGTGTTTGCACACTACTGAATAACAACTTTAAACAATATGCGTTTTCGAGAGTTGATAAGTAGATAAATCAGTAAATTCCACTCCGGGAATGCGTTTCGAATACCTCGCATGTCAAAATTGAATTTTACTGAAAACCTTGCTGTACACCTGCTGCAAGCATGTCAAATACAAATCCATCTCAAGTCATGCGAATGCGTACATCATTCTTTTTGGGACTCAACATGCTATAGAAGCAGTAAAGTTTTACACGCTAATCCCAATAAATACCATTTCAAATAGATCGTGCTAGATATATAATTACAGCCAAATTGATAGAACGTACCGAAGGATCGATTTCCTCCAATGTCTACAAGAAAGCAGAAAGATTTTCTTAAATTCAATGAATAGGTGTATGTTACTGCAGAAAAAAGTGGATTTCCTTTTTCGTGAACGTGTATAAATTTTAGTGAATAGAGCATCTACACGGTCACCCACAAAAAGGGAAACCGCATAAGTTAATTATGAATTCACTTATGCATAGTAATATCATTAGCGTTCAAAACAGTTTAATGAGCTTAACATTTCTGCACCTCTTGAATTTCATAAGGTTTGTTAAACATGCATTTAAAGCAAAGCAAGTTAAAAGTAATTTATACAGTGATTTTCATCTCGAATTTATCATACAAAAACTTTTTAACATCAAAGCAACATTTGTTGAGATTCAAAGGCTGCAAAAACTTAATCACAATTTCCCGCCATAAATTTCTACGTACATTGACAAGGGCATGTAACTAAATTAACCAGACGGAACAAATAGCTATTGCACATGCATAAATTACCTATTTATGTCGATTTCATTCAATGCATACATAATTATTTGTGCGGTCTCCGTTTTTTTTTGAACACCCTGTATATCGATTTCTTCAAAGGGCGTAGGACCATTGATAATTGGGTGAGGGAAATATTCATAAATGCATGTCATAATACTCTGAAAACAATTGATGTCAAAAGAATTGAACAATGCATATCATGAATACACTGTTTTCTTCTGGTATAGGGTGCTGTCACCCACTCCACTCGCCTTAATTTAAGGACGTTGACATTTGAATGGGAGCCACCAAAAGGAATATCAGATAATATATCTTTCTACGCCACCGTCGTGAAGGATTTTTCCACATTCTGGGTGCAACTTCAGTCGCCTGTAATCACTAACAAGGTATAGTATGATATTAAATTTTGCATAAGTTTTCTCCATCACTCAGTTTGCGTGAAGTGTATGCAGGTAAAAGATATTCATTTCGAAGTCATTTAAATTTGTTGTATGTTGGTATCTCCACAGAACGGTAACGGAACTGCTCTAATGTTGTTAGTATGCCATTTATATTCTTTATGGGACTGGCTCTTGCCTTCTTTCAAATGTGATTGGAAACTTCTCGATGGTGTTCTATCAAACAATGAAAATTTTATACTGGATTGTGTTTATTTCTTGCATCTTATGCCAAATAAAAAACATTGCCCCATGACATGCATGTTTTATCCTTACGTGTTATCATTCAGGTGAATGAAACTATGCGGATATTTACTCACATGCAAGCGTGGAATATTTCAATGAATAACACTTTTAGTTATTTGAGATCATCGTTACGCATGTTTCCGCAAAAAGAGTCTGTATTTTCAATGTTAAGGTTGATTGTCGAATTCCAAAATAATCGGGTAGCTCGCTAGAAAAATTTAGTTTGTAAAGGAACATAGTTATGTAACTGCTACAAAGAATTTATTCCTGGTGCTATTCAAAAACAGGAGAAGCAAATTTTCTCTTTTTTACGAGGGTTGTGTAGGCACAGGAAAAAAATCATAAACTAGGTACCGCAGACCAACTTGGCAAATGAATTTTCCTCATTTACAGATATCTGAGGCTAGCTCACACATGACCATTAAGCCAAGTGGAACTATCAGCAACAGAGCAATGTCTTCATCAATGTGTAACAACAGCACGTGGGCTGCGAACAATCCAAGTTGCAATGGAGGTGTCCCAAATGTCGTGAATCGGCCATTCATAATCCTGATGGGTATAGTTTTTGTGCTTTTCAAAATGTGATTTGAAACCGATTGACGGTAGACATAATTTCTAATTTCCTGTAAGAAGGAAATGTATTTTCCTTTGCACATCAATATTATTTGTAAAACTAGTTACTTCACGAAAAATTGGGTAATGCTGTCCCTGTACCTAGATAACAATAATTGTAGCTCTATACGTAATGGTCTTATACCAATAAAGCATAATAATTAAGTAAGAGAATGTTAAAAGTTCCTCTATGAGCGTGCCCCAAAGCTGCTCAAATTTTTTGCTTTTTGAAATTGCTCCAAGTCATTATTGCATTTTTGGTTAATTTATTCTAAACATGATGCTGACATCCGAGGCTAACTCACACAATGCCATTAAGCCAAATAGAACTATTAACAACGAAGAAAAATCTACATCTTCGAATAACAACAGCAAGTGCCCTGCTAAAAATCCAGGTTTCAAAGGATCACGCTCAAAAAACATGGCTTTGCCATTAATCTTCCTGATATATTTGATTCAGTGATTCTTGTCTTTTTTCAGGATGGAACTTGACACATATAGTAGTACTTGTATTCAACATCAAAGAATCTCATAACCTTTGTCCTTGTGCTCGTCAACCTTATTAATGAAACTAATAATTTCACAAATATTGTGGTAATGCAAGGATGTCCATAAAATTATCAATCATTATGAATCATAGCATGTTACACTGCTTTTATATGTGGCTTATGAAATTAAATTTCATGATTACATATTTTTATATAATTGCATTGTGTAAGCCTTTAAAAGTGTCCAGTAAAAATTTTAACGAATAAAAATGATTCTTTGGTAGAGAAAATCACATTAAAAATGACACTGCCGTACGAAAATTGTCAGTCATTTTGTGTGCGGCCAAAGGGGTTAGTGACGTCAGTCGTCGTGTATAATATATATGTACATGTATATTCGGTGTAGTAAATTCTACTATTTAAATATAGCGTGGCAGGACAACGAAAGCGCTTTAGCGTGCTAAATATGAATGTGATTGTTGCCAATGAAGTGCCAGGCGGGAAACGGATTCTCAATATAAATATTAGAGCCTAATTTTAAAACATAGTCATAAACAATTTGGTTTTATGAAATTTATTAAAAGAGTGACGTTTCGTCTTTACTCAAGACATCTTCAGACTAATTAGGAAGTTAACAAGAATATAGATATATATAGACCCTTTGCAGTGACGTCACGTACGCTATAGCAACAGTTGCTGGGGGAGCATCTGGAGGACAAGCAGATGTGCACGCTTTATATGTTAATATGGCTAGTAACATAAAGTCAGCGCTTTCTAGGTCAAAAAAAGGTTTTTTGCCTGGATATATAGAAAATATTCAGTGTAAGGTTAGTAAAGCGCGTTACAAAATGAAATTAGGACATTGCAATGGAGATGATCCGTACGAAATACCAAAAAATCAATGGCTCGACGATATCGATCTGTGGCCTGCTGTCATCTACATTCATGTTGGCATGTATTTATTATTTTCGGTCAGTGCGTACTCGAAAGAGCAGTTAAAAACTATAAGTCTTGATAGTTATCAAAATTTTGTGAATGGATGGGTGCGTGAAGTGTTGGTGAAAAAATATGACGATTATTGCTTGTTTATAGCTCAAAGCAGCTTGTCGCATCAACAGAGATTCACCTTCCAAGCATTTGCTATCTAGAGCTGAAGAAATTTTCAACTGCAGCAACAAGATGGGGTTGCCAGCATGAAGAGGTGGCAAGAGATGAATATCGGAAATGGCTAAACACAAACCATGAAAATGTTTCAGTAACAAAGAGTGGATTCTGGATTCATTTGACCCATGGATCTCTTGGTGCTTCTCAAGATGGACTTGTCTCTTGCCAATGTTGTGGCAATGGGACTTGTGAAATAAAGGCTTGTTATTCATTGTGTCTATGTGTCATGGGGAAAAGGTCAACATAATAATTACATCACCTATTGATTTTGTTTTGATAGTGTCCATTTTGCCATAAAGATGAGACAATTGAAACTTCAACAGATGAAAGGTTGTTTTGCATTGAAGTAAAAAGTGATGGCACAAAACAACTTAAAAGAATTCATGCGTATTACTATCAAGTACATTTGTAAATTATTGTAATTTCATTTAACAAGCTTAATGTATAGCAATTCACTTTCTTAAGTTATTGCTCAGTTGTCATGCACTGGTTTCAGCTAATGTGATTTTGTTGTGTGGACAGAAAAAGACATGTTTTCATAAATTCCTTTAACAAGCTTAATGCATAGAAATTCACTTTTTTAGGTTATGGCTCAGTCGTCATGCACAGGTTTGAGCTACTGTGATTTTGTTGTGTGGACAGAGAGACTTGTTTGTTGAACGAATCTTGCAAAATAACGAATTTCTAGAAAGGAAGATAGAGGCAGCAAAGAAATTTGTGTTGAGGAGACTCCTTCCAGAGTTAACTGAAAAATGGTACTGAAGACCCAAAAAATTGAATAAATGAAATATAATGCAATCAAATGTCTTATGAATATTATTAGTACAATTTAAATGTATGCATGCAAAATCTTTTAAAAGATATTATTTAGTCATAAGGTAAGACAGAATAACAAATGTTAATTAGTGCACAGCTAACAGTAACTATTTTGTCAATCGTAGTGGGCTCATTTTCTTTAGAATTGACAAAATCAATGGCTGAGTTGAACTAAGAAGTGCATATTTCTTTCTAATGTTTCCAATCACTCTTCCACATGAATCCTCACATTAGCAATTCGTCAGGTTTGTTCAACTTCAATGCCACTACCCTTAGTAAAAGCTGGCATCTTGATAGTTGCACAGTACAAACCAACTGACTCCTGGATATCAAAGCGTTTATCAACTAAGATTACATCTCCAGGTAAGAGCTTATCAAGGAGTCCACTGTTCTCAGTCAAATGTTTGTCACTGACTCTTCCTCCCAGCCACTGGAAACAAAGCTTACTGTACACTGGGGGAGTGACAGCATTTAAGTACTTAATCGTGTTGTGGTGCTTTTAGGATGAGTAAGTTTGGGCCCTCGCAAGAGGATTTAATGCACGATCCAAAAAATCTCAAAGCAGTCAATGATGGCAACACATTTAGGGCAGTGTTTTCTAAAATCCATGGGCAAGGCCTTTCTTAAGGCTTCCCTATCAGGCCATAAAATAAGAGGGCTTAATCAATTATAAAGAACAATTACTTGGAAGAAAATTTTTGATACAGCTCCCTTGTTGATGTTTCCAAATAGATAAGCCAAATCTACACCATTTAAATTAAGTCGCAGTTTCATAACTGTTAAAAGCAACTGCCTAAATGGTGACAAAGAGCATTTGGAAGAATGCATTAAGGTAGGGGCGTACCACTTCCAGTGTTGCTGACACATCTTCCAATTTGGCAGACCAGTGTAAAAGAGGACTTTTTCGTCATCATGTAAGAAGGATTTCTCGTCAAGCGTCATGTCACTTATCTTGTTTTTAACTCAAGATTTTCTTGGGTCAAGCGATTTATCTCGCTCTTCATTGCAGTTATTTTATCCAAACTCAGTTCTCTTTGTGAATATTTGGTGTTCGATTCTGATTCTGACAATGAAGCAGATGTGGCTGATATGACTCCGTGTTCTTCGTCTACAAGATGGGTTGTCAAGGTCGATTGGGTCACTGCAGTGCTGACAGTACTGTTTCAACGGATTCACTTTTTTTCGTTTTTCATTTCTTTCCGAAATACGAGCATAGCGATCGACATCAACTTTTTCGACATATGTATGTCAAAGGTTTTGAGATGGAGCCCAGTCTGGATTAGTTTGGTCCGTTAAAGCCTATGGTTTACCTGCCATTGTGAACAAAACAACAAATGGTATAAAATGACACAAACGAACACAACAAAGCTTTTTTCAACTCATTGGCTTACCAGTAACAAAATGAAGGCTACACACTCGTAAATACGTGCATTGAGAACCGTCAATAGGGAGTTTTAGCAGAGCCTACGAGTACGACTCAGTGAACTCGACATTTGAATAACTGGAATGATAACCGAAGCCAAAAATTGAAGCCAAAAAAACATTTGTCGTCATCATTCGTCATCACACGTCAAGCTCTAGTCTCTCGCGTGTTCATTTTAATTTTTTTAAATCATTTGTCCCTTGGTAATGGTAGAGTTCGGATCTTGATTAGAGCGTAAAAATAACGAAATTTTTGGAATGAAAAGGTTCACGGAAAGTGAATCAAAGTGATAAATCGAGAAGCAGGGTGAGGTGAACTTAGTCGATCTGCTTTTACGCTGCGGTTTTCCTTTAAAACATATCAAAGTCTTTAAGGATATTCAATTACTAATATCGAGATGACAACCATTTAGTATTTCAAGCACTATCAAAATCGATGAAAGATACAATCGCTCTGTAAAAAGTAAAATGCGAGTTATAGACTCAACATTTTTTATGAACCTGGATATTCAAGTTTCTTTTTTCTTCGGAAAAACAGATCTTTAAATCCATTGAAACGACAAAAAAAGACAAACACTGTCTGACACCGTTTGAAAATTTACCTTCCGACGAAAGAAAAATTTATGCTTGAATATTTTCTCGTCATATTTTCTTATTGTATTGCCTTTTTAGCATAAAGTGTAATTTTCAGTTGGCTTTTCCTCGTTACAAGTTGTAAGTTACAACGAACTCACTGTAGTAAAGTTTTAGCTGTAAGAAATAACCTTTTGCGAAGAGTTGGCCTAGTGTGTAATTTGTCGTGATGTTGTTTATATGTTTATGCTTTTGCAGTTTGTATTCAAATTTATATTGGCCGTGTATGTTTGGCACTCAGGGGAATGAAACTGACGTACAAACCGCGTGAATATTCGACTTTGAAGGACTGGAACTGACGTACAAACCGCGCAAGAGACTAGGACTTTGGCTTCAACTTTTTATCTATAAAATGTATTGTAGTTATCATTCCAGATATATATATATAAATGGAGTTCACTGGTACGACTACGAGTCATTGAACTAAATATAACTGGAAGGCTACCTTCTGATATATCGTTAACACACGAAATGAAGCCAAAATTTTGCGTGATCTGACCTCCAGACACGCGTTTCTGGTAGTCAAATCACGCGAGTTCGGCCTCGCGATGCGTGATTGGAAGGAGTGAGTAAAGAGTCTGAACGAATAAACTACATGTTTTGGCCAAGCTTTAGAAAGGAAAATTACTGAATTTATTTAGTTTTGCTGCGTTTTCTTTTGATATTAATACAGGAAATTTAAGTTTCTTGCCGACCAAATAATTTTTTACCCAGAAGGCTTACCGATGGCAAAGGATTGTGCTCGGATATTGGCGAAAACTTTCAAATGTAAAAATCCCAATGGGTAAGTGTTTATTCATTGTATTCATAAAGTGTTTACACATTAAATTTATTCATTGTTAAACAAGATTAGCTTATTGAGTCGGTGCCTGTCGCTTGTTTTGCCTTTATTTACGATCTCCCTCGTATATTTTTTACCGTAGTTGAAAAGACGCAGTGTGAAATATTTGTCTGCGATATGCTTTGTCAGTTGAGTGCTGTGATCGTCTTCGATAACAGCCTCGTTAACACCATCTTCGTGATCTCTGAATAGAGGAAAGGTCGATTCCAGATTAAAATGTTGGCAAACTGCAATAATCATACTGTTCTTCAACTTTGCCCTGTTACTAATATGCTGATTGTCGTTGCCTGTCACCGTTGCTTTGAAAACGTGTTCGCAGAACTCTATACAACGATACACCGCTGTGGATGGAATCTGTAAACCACCGTTGTTCACGAAGTTGACGAAAGCTGACGCTTTTCCAGCTTCATGATATTTTGTGGCAGTATAATCATGGTCATCTACGGATAACGATTTTGGTAAAGGACAAAGGCATCGTTTGCATTCTGGGCAAGATAAATTGTTGACTAACTTCGAAACTATGTATCCTGCAATATAAAATATAACGTTCGAAATAAATTCGCTGTTGCCTTCTTGGAGATGTTGCACCATTGCATTAATTTTATTGTCAGTGTCTTGGGCAGCAGTTTCTTGTGACTGATTATGTAATGTGGGTGAATGTTTTCTTGTACGAAAAAGTGGTATCAGGTTGTTGCAGCCAGTAAAGTCCAAACAGTTTGCATTTTTTGATGCAGTAATGGCATTTCTCATCAACATTTTTCGAAGGGCATACTTCATTTGGAGACTGTTGGGGTTGTTGTTCCATCCACCTCTTGAGCGAATGCAGGAAAACAGGAGTTCAATATGGTCCTGTGAATATTTGTAGGTTAAGAGATACTTGAATGGATTGATGGATGAAGAGAGCATCTGTGTTGCCATTGAAATAGTGGATTTGATGCAGGTAACAAACCCAATTACAAATGTTTTGCTGAGATGTACAAATTGGTTGAGAGGAAGCTGTGTTGGTTTTAATGATAGTAAATATTCTGCTGATGATGATAACACTTCTTGCCATGTTTCCTGACTTGAAAGCGAAGAGGTGCCTTAAAACCCTTACCCAGTGGATTCCGGGAATTAAGGATGTCAAAAGTCGGTCGATAATGCGAATAAATGTCACTGTCCCATTACTGCCAGAGAAATTTGGTTGTTTAGCGGATTTGTCTAAAACTCAATAGCATTTGCCACAGAGGAGCTCAATGTTTGTGCAGCAAGTCGCACATTCATTTTGTGTTTGTGAAAGTTAAGGTGATTACTCGTAAGTTTGTTTGTTAGGTTTAATCCTTCTTCCATTTGTAGGTTTTGAAGTTGTTCTATGTAACTCCACTTTATAATGTTTTCCTTGCCATCCTTAAAAGAACCAAGTTGGGCCAGTGCATTGCGTGCAAGCTTTAACATATGGCAAGGGTCAAGAATTACAAACACATCTTCGCCAGTAGTTGGATGGGTAAATGAAGACCGCATTTCATCATATGTACCGTTAAAGTTGCAACCAAGACTTTCAAATGTATGAAGATTTACAGCAGTACCATCAGCTGTTACAGACCATACCTTTAAACCTGCCTTTGATGCCTTTTCAAGACATTGTATTACCAATGATGCTTGGTCTTTACCATTGATTTTGTCAACCAAAAGTACCCAACGGGCATTTCCAATGACTTCTGGTGCCAACTAATAAAAATACTAGTGCCTCAGAAGCCAATTTCTCTGTTTTATGATTAGGAGTGTATCTCCAAGATTAACAAACCCTGAATACTGGTCATCTTCTGGATTCCATATTGTTTGTTTTGTATTGACATTGCATCAATAACCAAACAGCAGTCTCTGGAATTTGGGAAGCAGCAACTTCATTTGATAGTGATTGGAATGCATCTTTAATGAAACCAGGGTCACATTTCATGGACGCAGACCATTTTTTCATCAAAGATGGATTGGGTAGTGGAACAATGGATCGAACATATTTATAAGCTTTTGGAGAATAAAAATATAAAGTAAGTGCAAATTCTTTGATTTCATCAGAGTATCTTCTGCCTGAACGAGGACATTTTAAATTATCTCTAATATTGTATAAAATCCCAACTGAGTATCATTGAAAGTGGACAAAAGACTTTCTGCCTCTTTTGAATTGATCACCAACTTATCTTTTAAAATCTTGACAACTTCACCCATGGTTTCAACCTTTTGTTTTGTGCGTCTCAGTTGTTGTTGCAAGTTTCAATTTTTGTTGAAGCTTATTTTTAAACAAATCTCTTTTTCTTCTGTAGATGTTTTGGAGATTTTTGGGTGGAGAAGTTTCATCAACGGAATCAGAGGTAGCTGCAAAAGGTCTTTTATTTGAAAGCTCGAGTCTATTCAGCAGTGCGTTTGAGTGGGTTGTAGAAGTTGAAACATTTTGAACATGCAAGCTATTGGACATGGATGGTATGGCATACTTTTTTAGTCGGCATTTGCCATTTTGTGAGGGGGGGACAATGTAGTCAGTTAGTTGAAAATGGTCACTGCATATGATGTGCACTTTTGCTGTCCATGGTACTTCAAGATGGTTTACTTGTTGAACAAAATGCTCCCATAATTTTATGGCTGCCTTGTTTTTCATGGGAAATCTGTAATACATATAAATATTCATGATCTAGTATTTTAAATATTATACTTCCAGTAATTTCACTACAAATCCTTGTCCAGTTAAATAAAGTTGTAAGCCCTGTACTAACAATATGATACCAGTTATATCTACTTTACACTTTTACTGTGAAAAAGTATTATTTTATTGCAATTGTGACCAGCGAAACAAATAAATACTGTATATGACTAAACTGTCAAAATATAGAATTTATATATGTTAGTATTTAACTGAATTTTATTAAAATTTCATTTTTGTAGTTGAAGCATGTTTAATCTTTCCAAATTGCAGTTTTGTTTGATGTCATTTTTTCAACTTATGTATTGGAATTTTACCTGTGAAAAGCAACAGTTTCTGCACCTATGTGGTGAGAAATAGCCCTGTTCCTGCACCCAATTATCACACATGTAAGTGGCATGTTTACTGAACAATCCTGAATACTTATCTTTGTCCTAAAGAGGACAATTATGCAGTGAAAAATAACTTTTGTTTGCAAAATCAAGGAAATATACGCTCTAACGTTAAAAAAAGGACTGGGGTGAGAAGAAGCTATACTTGTTTTTCTTCGTAAATATTGCTTTAAAACATAATTTTGCTAACGTTCTGTTATGTTAATGTCATTATTGGTTTAACGTTTTTTAAGAAATTTTTAAAACAATACCATGCAAATTTGCAAGATGTCAAAATCGCATTTGTCGAGGCTTGTTAAGTTTGTTTTTTTTTTCAAAAAAGGCACGATTGCTTGATTGATCTATTACCGTAATCAAACTTACTATAAATGACCTGAAAAATTTACATTTTTTGCAATTTACTTCCAGTTTTTTCATAGTTTTGCAAAATCCGCTGTCAAAATGACTAAAACACTGACATATTTTGTTTTGGTCGTGTTTATCACAAGCGTGGAAAGACTGGGAACGATACTGTCGACTTAGGCTTCAAATTTCCGGGCGAAGGTAGCCTTCCAGTTATATTTAGTTCAATGCTACGAGTACGATTTACGTCATTTTGGCGCGAAAACATTGTTGCGACAACAAAAACCATTGAGTTCTATAATAACTGGAGCGGCTAACTTTACTGGGGCGAGGCATTGAGTTCTATAATAACTGGAGCGGCTAACTTTACTGGGGCGAGGTCGCCAAAAAAATGGCGGCCAACGGACGTATTTCCGCTGAAATGATCGCTTTGCAGAAAAATAATATTCTCGACCTCCCCCTGGTGTCTATAGTAAATTATAAAGAATTTTTCAAAAACAAACACGATATCACAGAATATGGATATCGTTAGTTCCATATTCTGTGACGATTCTTTTTTGGCATTTCTTTTATAATACCAACACTTCAATCGTTCAATTGTTGGATGTCGCAGTTTCCACAAAAAGGAACATATCGCTTCTCACAGGTGAGGTAGTTGCTTGTTTTGTTAGTCCGTCACGATTGAAAAGCAATTATACATGCACTTGAAAAGCCATAAAATACATATTAAAGATCGTATTTTTTAAGACTGACTTGAATGCCATATATACTGATGTTTTCCTGTTTTTGTCTATAAAATTCTGCATACTTTTCTGTCATTTGTTAATGCATGAAATCGTAAATTTACCTATCTATTTGCAAAATAGTTTCCCTAAAGCAAAAAAGACCCTGCACACATTTTGCTCTGTGAAAAGTATCAAAAAGAAATGATCAGCCCCAACAGTACCCATGATTTGGAGCAGAGCTTGTTATGTTCTATTTGCTGACAACATGCAGGGAAGACCAAGGAGTAAAGATGACTGGAAGGTGTTATTGACCAGGCAGAGTCTTAAAAAAATGATAATGCTGTAAAGATAATTGATTTATTGTCTGCCTTATGCAGAGTTATTTAATTTGATCATGGTCAAATTCTATGGATGGAGACAATGGATTCACTTATGATGCCTTGAATGCTTTGAAGTTAAAGTTCATGAACCAAAAAAAGATGGCAAGAAGATTGTGTGCGTTTTGATGCTTAATTAAATGTCAATTCACAACATATAAAATGGGAAGGCCATAAAATTTGTGTCTATGTAAACATTTGTACTGAGATTGATGATTACTCGATGCAGATGTGAAGCATCAAACTGTATAAGCCATTGGGTTTTATATAACTTAATGTTTAAATCATGTCATATCTTTATCAAAATATTTTAGTTGAGTGTTGTTTAAATGTTACTAATATCTAATGCACTATACTGAAGCATTAAAGATTCAGTGATGAAACCTTTAAAATTACTATACTGTATATTTCTTATATATTTCTTATATTTCTTTAAGAAACAGTTTGAGCTTATTTACCTATTACAGTACAGAATGGAGATTTATCATATGCATCATTGCTGCTTTTTTAAATAAATGTTTTTCACTTTTCAAAGCTTTTCTACAAATATTTTGCTTCTTATTTCTTTTCATGAGATTGATGATATAGAGCAGGGGCGGATCTAGGATTTTTCATATGTTAGTCAAAAATTTATGACGTCATATGTGGCCTCAAATATGACGTCATAGATGACATCATACATTGTATCTTATGCAGCGATTTATAAAACTTTAGCGATCATAAAATTGCGAAAACTAAGATGAATTCCCTTTAATCAGATGATGACAGACTGTTTCGCCCAATATCAGGGCTCTTCAGCATGCCTAGGATGATGCCCCAAATTTCAAAGCATCATCCGACATGGACAGCCCTTTAAAGAGCGGAAGCCAGCAATCTGGTTATTGCATAGAATTAAATGCATGTCCTTTATACATAGGTACATCAACAATTTTATCTATAAACTAAAAAAGAATTTAGATGTAGAAAGACAAAATTTAAAAAATTCTCATGATTTCAATTAAATTTAAATCTAGTGTTGCCAACAGAAAATTTATCAATTACGAGTTGCACATCTGGAAGAATTTCCTGATGAATTTTCATTAGAGCAAGACCATTTAACCGTTCCTCAACCATAGTACTCCGCTTATAATCTTTAAGAATTCGCAGCGCTGAAATCGAACGTTCACATTCGCATGAAGTTATGGGAAGGGCTCCTAATATTTGAAGTATGACCTTTATGTTTTGAAAACCATCAAAATTCATAGCTTTTAAAGTTGTAGCTACATTACATGGATAAGGACCTTTACGATGTTCCCAGAAGGATTGCCATAATAACAACTCTGCATCTAAACCTAACTGATTGGGTAAATCAGCAACATAAAATTTTGAAACAATCTTAAATTTATGTCTCCAGTCAATCCCATTTTTTATAAGAGAAAACATTTTTGTTGGAACAATACTTAGTCCTTGATAAACATTTACACTTTCCGTGTCAAATCGCGCATCCAAAGACGAGAGAAGATGGTCAATTAAAGGAATCGTATAGATTCGTTTGTAATACTCCGAGATAGAACGATAAGGAGCGTTAGGCCTTGTAGTTTGCCTTCCAATTGTCCTACGTTTACGTTCTTCTACCCCAACCTTTGCCGCTAACGTCAAAGCAATGTCGTACCATTGATCATGATATGAATCAATAGAATTCCTCACATGTGCAACACTGCTTTTCAAAGAAGAGATCAACTCAATCCCGTCCATAACATCAATACTCTTTCCTTGCAAAAGCTGAGTAACAGGAAGCGTTAGATCAAAACATTTCTGGTAATAACCAAGAGGGCGATAAAATGAAACTCAGAAAGACCTTCAAGCAAAGAGGATGCATCAGCAGCGAGAGGGACTGGCACCTTTGCCATGTTATCCAGTGTGTCAAAATTTGAACAAACAATTCTTCGAAAGTGTCTAAACCTTTAACTCGTTCTACCCATCTGGTTCTACAAACATCTGGCAATCTAGTCTTTTTTGAGTCCGTTTCTAAACTATTGCGTACAGTCTCCTCAAACGGTATATTGCGTGTTTGAGAAATATTGATAAAATTTGTCACATCTTTTATTTTGTTAAGTACTTTCTTAACCTCAATATCTGACAAAGAATCACAAACTGACAAATTAAGCCTATGACTATAACAGTGGGTATATAATGCTTTCGAGTTGAGCTTCAAAATTTGGGCAGCCAAACCTTTAACACAACCTGCAACAGCACCCGCACCATCATAACCTTGTCCGTGACAGTCTTCAATTGGCAAGCCAAGGTCTTTAAGTTTATCTAGAATTAATTTAGCAAGGTTCTCTCCACTCAATCCCCACTTACATTGAAGAAAGGCAATGAACTCCTCTCTTATGTCCATATTCTTATCAATAAAACGTAAAATTAGAGCCATTTGCTCTCTATGGGAAGAATCTGCAGCCTCATCAGCTATAATAGAAAAGAACCTATTAACCTTAATGTCGTTGACAATCTGTTCAGTAATAACCTCTCCAAAGCACTTGATCATTTTATTCTGGCTGGTCTTAGAGATGTAACTTCTATTTTTCCCACAAGATGTTAAGTGATCCCTTAAAACACCATTCCCTGAAAGAACTTTAAAATTTAGTGTCTCCACAAAATTTCCAACACCCCTGGTAGAATACTGACCAACCTCTGGATGATATTTAGCATCATCACGGTGGCCACGCAAAGGCAAACCTAAACGACCACAAAAAAGAATGCAATCAGCAATAGAAGACAGCTTACATTTGTTCTGATCGATTTCCTTTTTAAGATTTCTTTCTAACATGAGCTCTATTGGTTGCGCAGACCCTGACATTTGAGCACGTAAGGCAAATAGAATTGGATTTGTTTGGGCATGCAACCCCACTTCTCCTTCATCATGGCGTTTAAAAGTAAATGCAGCATCATTCCAGCGTGAAACCGGTTTAGAAAACAAATTTGTAATCTTAGAAGCTTTACCAGGGAAGCGATGACCAAAAGCACGCATGACAAACAAAATGCACCATCTTTTGATGGGGAGTAGCATAGCCAGTCATATTTTTTTAGCCAGTCATATCTAAAGCTCCTACCACCGGTCTTAGGAAAGGAAAAATTCTCATCAGGCCTGAAAACATTTTTAATCAATTGAAGAACACCAGAAGTATCTAAGCCTTTAACTTTATCCTGGTAAGTTGCAACATCAAAATTATGCACAGAATGATACTTCTTTTCTGGACAAGATTGACTAGCGGAGGACTTAATTGGTTGTTTCAACGTGATATAAGAAGGAACTTGTTTGGCAGAAGAAAAAGTTTCATTGGGCTTTTTTCAAATAACTTGGATGGCTGTTTTTCTGATGCAGTAAAAGAGTTAGAAATAATTGGAATATTACCAGAAGGAAATTTTGCCACCTTCTTGGAAAATAAGGAAGGCACCTTACGTTTTTTTGCTGACGTTGTGGCTTGTGTAATGTCAGCAGACTTTCGCTTGTGTGCACTTGCATGAAAAAGAAGAGGGACAAAATGGTTAGGCTGAAATGATTCTCCAGTTCTTATGTCACCTTCATGGCAGAATAGAATATGAATTTCTTTTTCAACCCTAGTAGTATGCAAGCGGGGTTGAATAACACGATTAAATAAAAGTTTGAGCCTGTGTTGTCCACAATCCGGATAATATGTAACAATACATCTTTTCAAAACTGAAGACAGACCCAAAATACAAAGAAATGATGACCATTTACCATCATTGCAATTAAAAACAGCCTCTTTCTTCACTAAATATTCCTTACTAGCACTGGTATCTAAGGACTCAACAGAGACAGATAAAGGTAAAAGATTTTTTATACTTCCCTTAAAAAAATCAGGATGCTCTTCAATGGCGGACAAAAAGCAGGGATGCTCACAGTAAAAATGAGCATTCAGGAAAAGCTCAAGTGAGGTTAAGATTCTTAAAGTTGGAACCAATCTATCATCACCAAGCAGAGACAAAGACACGGAACTGTACAAGCAATTCCCTGAAGCTTCTGATCTAAGAAAATACATGAAGCTGATGATGAAAGAATTTTTGGGTTTGGTTCCAAAATGTTCTATATATGACATTATTTGATAAATGTATTATATAATCATGTTATAATCTTATTTAGTTTTATTGAGTAATAAAATAGCTAACTGACAATAAAATCTCGCGTAAATATGATATTTACTTTATGTTTTATATTGACAAAATCTACATTCTCTATATGAAATGTGTAATAGTGCTGACAACTATAAGCAGGGAATGAATATAAGTAATTCAAATAGGATAGTTAATAGTAGAATTATAAAGAATCAAGGAATAATCAACAAGCAGGTTGAACTGAAAATTTGACAAGTTTATCTCACTGTACATTCATAAAGTTTTTAAAATGCGAGTCTAAAACCACAAAAATCAGCAAGTTGAAAGGTTGATGAGATTTACACAACACAAGTGACCTGTAATATACAACCAGACGTTTTGCTGGCAACTTATAGCAAGCAGACTTTGTATAGTGCTTTCGTTTTGGAAACACAGCACAATCAAGCAAAAATGCTTAACTTCCCTTGAGATTTATCTGCCTGCCAGCAAACCGTGCGAACGTAAACAAGGCAAGTCATCAATACCGTTTGTATGCATATTTACATTCTTACATATTGTTAGTGAAATATGAGAAAAATTGTACAAAATATATAGTTTACCTCAAAGCTATGCACGATTTTTCCTTTTGATTTCGAACAGCCAAAGGAATATAAGTTTCCGCGCAATAATTTCTGCTAATGCTGTTTGACGAGCTACTTATGGCACCCAATAGTTGCTCAAGCGATATCTCATCTTGCTCATTTAGTTGCCTGGCAAGATCAACATAAAAACCTGCCAAAATTTTACAATCATCTGCCGCAAAGGCAGCTTGAACAACACCGTAATCTACGGTGGCCCGACTTCTTTATACAAAACTTACGTCCAGTTTCTCCGTAGAAATCGACTTTCTCTGTAGAAATAGACCTTCTCCGTGGAAATAGACCTTCTCCGTGGAAATAGACCTTCTCCGTGGAAATAGACCTTCTCCGTGGAAATAGACCTTCTCCGTAGAAATCGACCTTCTCCGTAGAAATCGACTTTCTCCGTAGAAATCGACCTTCTCCGTAGAAATCGACCTTCTCCGTAGAAATCGACCTTCTCCGTAGAAATAGACCTTCTCCGTAGAAATAGACCTTCTCCGTAGAAATAGACCTTCTCCGTAGAAATAACTACCGTGAAATTGGCACTACGTTTGGAACCACATTCAACACAACATTCATCACAACATTCATCACCACATTCAACTAAAATTTATCATTCAAAATGATAAATCGAAAAATCGTCTTTAAAACACGTTTTCCATCAAATACAACAGTAAAAAACAATTCTTAACTGTTTATTACTATTTTACTGTCCTTAACCATCACAAAGAAAGTATAAAAGTTAAAAAAATTGAAGAAAACACTAAACTTTAGGTTACAGTGTACTTTTCATTTCCCTTAATTAGCGTATAATTTAAAAACTACACGGTAGAATTTTTTTAAACTTGGCCATATTGTAGATATTTATATTGTCTAAAATATATCCAAAATCTGGAGAGTGCACAAAAAAATAAGTTGTACAAAATCATCGACATAGTTAGGTGACAAGAATGGGCGTAATATGATCTTATATAATTAAGTCGATTATTATATTATACTACGCGCATTTGAGTCATCCAAATTTGTCGATGTTTTTCTATCATTTATATTTTTGTGCACTTTCCAAATTTTGTGTATATTTTAGACAATATAAAATTCTATAATATAATTGAGTTTAAAAAATTCTACCGTGTAGTTCTTAGCTATAGAGCAGTTTTTCGAATGTGGTGCCAACTTCACAGTTTATACCAGAGTACATTCTCAAGGAATATTATTCCTTTTATATTTTTGTGCACTCTCCAGATTTTGGATATGTTATAGACAATAAGAATATTTACAATATGGCCAAGTTTAAAAAAATTCTACCGTGTAGTTTTTAAATTATACGCTAATTAAGGGAAATGAAAAGTACACTGTAACCTAAAGTTTAGTGTTTTCTTCAATTTTTTGACTTTTATACTTTCTTTGTGATGGTTAAGGACAGTAAAATAGTAATAAACAGTTAAGAATTGTTTTTTACTGTTGTATTTGATAGAAAACGTGTTTTAAAGACGATTTTTCGATTTATCATTTGAATGATAAATTTTAGTTGAATGTGGTGATGAATGTTGTGATGAATGTTGTGTTGAATGTGGTGCAAATGTGGTGCCAATTTCACGGTAGTTATTTCTACGGAGAAGGTCTATTTCTACGGAGAAGGTCTATTTCTACGGAGAAGGTCTATTTCTACGGAGAAGGTCTATTTCTACGGAGAAGGTCGATTTCTACGGAGAAGGTCGATTTCTACGGAGAAGGTCGATTTCTACGGAGAAGGTCGATTTCTACGGAGAAGGTCGATTTCTACGGAGAAGGTCGATTTCTACGGAGAAGGTCGATTTCTACGGAGAAACTGGTCGTGTCCCTTATGGGCCACGATTTCTACGGAGAAGGTCGATTTCTACATCTTCACTCTGACTAGACTCTTCGAAAGAGGAATAGTCCATGTATGATTCTCCTTCGAAAAGCTCTTCAGCACTCCCCTGCATTCCATCATCTATATTAATGCTGGTCACCACGGATGTATTACGATTTTCCCTGATTTCGCTTCGATATTCATTTTGCAACTTCTGGGCCTTTTTCTTCAAAGATGCTTTTGTCTTTTTATACCAGCTTGAAGTCTTTTGTAAAGATGTAAGTTTTTTCTTAAGACGATGGCACGATTTACATGGAGACTGGGATTCACAAATATCTTCACCAACTGCATGTAGTTCTTCTTCAAATGGCGAATCGTTTGCTTCCCCAGTGCATACTTCAACATGCTCAGCTCCATCACTAGTAGATGGTACTTCCTCATCGAGAAAACATGTTTCCTTCAGCGATGGCTTATGGAGAGTATGTCGAATAATCTACAAAACTTATATCGAATTTACATATGACAAAAGAAAAATTAACATAAACAAGCGTGAACTTACTTGTCTTCGCTTTCGATCGGTTATTTCGTCCTGTAATGGTTCAGGAATCCCTGCCATGTCAATGGTTGGGATAGCATCTTTCTTCAACCTTCTTTTGAGCTTGACTTGCACGCTCAAATTAAGGTCAAAACAAGAATCTTCAAAATGCGCAGAAAACAGACACGAGGTAGTGGAAGCCTCAAAACCCGGTCTATGTTTACGCACAAAATTTACCCATTTTCTATATCTTTGCGGCTCTGTTTCTTTTTTAGGAAACAGATGCGTCGACATTCCTTCGGTTTTTGAATCATTGGCGCAACTAATTTGATTAGGTCCGCCAGCAACACAGCGTTTTCCTCCGCGTTTCTTATTAAGATTACTAGTAGAATACGCCATGTTGATATATGTGTTCAACTTCCTACGTCACAAGTCATTAGCATACCGATCAAAAAGTTCGCAAAAAAAATGCTGAAAATCGTGACTTTGAATGTCCGTAAAATCACTTTCACCAATCCAATTTCAATAATAATTGCAGATTTAAAATCACTGAAACAAGGTCTTTCAATTAAGCTCATAAAAAGGGGGCTAAAATTCGTAATATAAGCACTTTAAGTGTGATGTGATGTATTGTGTGATGTAAGTGTGATGTATTGTTAGGGTGAGGTGTTGGGACTAGAAAAGCTTAAGAGGTATGGAGCTGCCTTGGGTGTTAAGTAAAGGTTTTAGTTTGGAGATGAGGAGGCTTTCGTGGATCATGAGTTCGAATGTGTCGGAGCAGGATGAGATGATTTTAAAATCGTCTGGCGAAGCAGGGTGGTTGGAGGAGTTACTATGAGAAAGAATACTTGACATTAATGGGTTAGTATAGTGTTTTCCAGTCAAAGGAGAGATCCCCAAGTGTTCCGAGATTCTGGTGTGGAAGTGGCGTGTGGTTTGAACCACATACGACGCGGAACAGCTTCGACACGTGTATAAACAACAGCTATAGATTGAAATTATATTAATCGCATCAAACGTTCATTTATGGCAAAAGTCTTTACTTAATAACACTTTGAACTTTGGCCCTTCCCCTATGTCTTTTCTTAAGTCTTTAGTTACAGTGCTTTTCTGTTAATACAAACATTATTGTTCAGTTAATCATACTTCATTTAAGAAATACAAATATCACATGACCACAAAGAATGTTCGTAATGTAAGAGGGTGAAAAAGGGCAAATCCTATATTTTTCTAGTTTTATCATATACTTAGTGAATAGTAAATACTCTAGTGCATGTTAAGACTGTGCTTCTTAAAATAAATATTGTTTCTAAAGATCGATATTTCGTGTTCGTGACAAAAGAGAAGGCCTCTACTTCAAATGCACTCAAAAACTTATTGCTACTGTAGCAAATATCATTTCTTTATAATAAATTTTTTTATTTGCGTAGCCCTGTTTAACATGGCGATGCAGGTAATTAATCGGCTTTAGCCTTTTAGCATTCGCCTAACGAATATGAAAGAACAAAAGATAAGAAATAGTTTTAACTTATTATATTTGTCTCTAATGCATTCAGCACATAGAAAATTCAACGTTTTGAAAGGGCCTTATATCATTGTACGGCATATGATTTGATTCGATATCATAAAGCTCCAGACAATTGAGTTTGAGTTATAAAATACAAAGAACTTAGACGTCTTGATTTAGTTTAGCTAATAGTAAGTTCCATGTTATTCCACTGCCAACTATTGCTGTTCATATTCAACTTCAACTAATTGGCACTTTTTACTCTCTTTTCATAGGTATTCCTGTTAGTTGCATGCTACAATGCCTTTTTCACTATTGCCAAAGCTGCGAATTCACTCTCAGGCTTTTGCGAGTTTATCACTCTGATTTTTTAGAATTCTTTGATTTCTTTAACAAGAAAGGAAAACCCACTGAAAACTTTTTTACGTATCGAGTTAATGACGCACTTTCCCCCACTCACTGTACGTGGGGTCGATCGCTCGTTTAAACTTATTTATTGGTACTTGAATTATTCTCAAATTAAAAAGATAGAAAATATTTTCTGTGTTTCTATTGAGTTATAGAAACTCTTGAGGAAGTTTTAGAGAAACAAGAAATTACGTAGCAAGCATGATGGCAATTAAGATGCCAGTGTTTCCAAGAAATTTCGAGTTTCTCCCAAAGTGCTTATATAACTCGATAGCAGCAAGTTCCCTATTTCTTTTACAAAATAGCTTTTAAAAAACAGTGTAAAAAAAGATAAATTTGTTGATTTTAATGACATATTGTAAATATTTTTGCCTTTGAAATTTCCCGCGCAAACCACCAATCTGTGACTCTTTGCGAGGATGAAATTAACGTGTTTCTCTAGAGGTACAGAAACACACTGGAAAGTTTGTGAGGAAGAAGTTGTGGAGGTACAGAAACACGCGGGAAAAAGTTGTGAAAGTAAAATTGGAAAATTAAACAAAACTTATCTGTAAGTTGAAGTTTAATTGGGATTTTACCGACTTGTCATAGCGGAACAGAGGGTCACAATGAGATCACGTGATGAAACAAACCATCAGTGTTTTAAAAACCACCTAAAATATGTTGTGATATGAATCTGCAATAGTGATAATCAAAAGAGTTAATGTATTGGTTTTTTGTTCAGACAGTAACATGAACATCATTGTCAGCTTATTGCTGCGTCAAGGTACTCCTCTCATTAAGATTTGGAAAAGTTCTGTTACGTGCGTGGTCCCGAAAGAATAACTATTAATTTTGGTTCTATTTCCACACGCAACAAAGATAGTGTGAACCAGTTATATATCTCAAACAATTTATTAATTAATGCGTAAATATTAAATTAGATAAGTGTCTTAATAATAATATCAATAAGTATGAGTAAAACTTATCTCCTCTGTCTGAGTACAACCGCGAGTCTTTATTCTTGAGCGTTCGTGAGTCCAACAATGACTCACAATAGTTTTTCAAATAGATTAAAGGCACAGAAGCCAAAAGATAGTTATGGCACAGAAGCCAAGATAGTTGTCTGGTAGATTGTAGCTTGTCAACCTACTTCGGTAGGCTATGCCTCCTAAGTTTGCCTCCTAAGTTTGAGCTTGTGCTCGTAGGTTGTCCTCGTAGGTTGTACTCAGTGGTGTAAACTACTGATATATTTATAATATCTAATGGGAAGTATTGTGGTTTGTGACCTACATCCCATACGCAATACAGTATGTTACAGCAAGATATAGTTAACCACAATAACAACAAATGCGGTTGCGGACTTGCGGTTCTAAAGTATGTTTACGCATGTAAGCAAGCTTCTAGCGCATGCAAGCAAGATTCTAGATTATGTCCTAATTAGTAATACATGAAATTATGATATGATATAATAATGATATTACATGATAGTACTTGCTATCATGTAACAGTACTCACATACTTATTCTGCTCCTACATCCCATGTGTCGAAATATCTATAGGCAGAGCTTGTCTTTGTTTGTAAAAACCTTTTTGTAATCGACAAATCGGTGGATGCTTCCTATATGGTGCATGGCAAAGCAGAGTGAGAACAGATGACAAGGTTGATCTACCCGTGTAGAGTCCATTCTATTGCATCCCCTTATCAAAGAGTTGGGTGAGGAAATCCAGAACAGCACCCTGAGGTGGATATATTGGATCAATATGCCTTGAACAACAATATTTTCCCATTTTGCAAGGTAAATTTTTAATTTTTTCATTGTGCCATCTCGTTCAATTTTTTGCCAGATAATTCACAATGTTTTGCCACCTACAGTTTAGAAGCATCTTTGACATTTTACGAGCACTCATTGTAATCACCTCTACTGTATGAATATCTGGAATGTATGAAAGTATTGTTGTACAAGGGCGTTTAATGGGCCAAAAAGAAAACAATATTTCTGGGATAATAGCATGATGTAAGGTTTAATTTTTACAATTGAAGAGATAAAACTAGTAAAAGATATAAAGTCATATACCTTAACTGGGACGAGCCGGTACAATAGCTACAAAAAATATAGTCAATAAATGCGCCATGTTGATTTATAATTCGTTGCGTTCGGCAAAATATTACTTTCCTCTTTTTGACGCTGCAGGTGGTATTAAACTCATCACATGAAAGCTGGCAGTATTTTGCTTGCTCAGTGGGATGTCTTACTAACCGTGCATCCTCATATGAACACGGCCGATTTCTTCAATGGACCAACTTGATAATAAGATTTAACAATTATTGGATGAGGTTGAGCATGACAACAAAAACTATTCAAACCGAGGTCAATGTTATCTGCCGAAGCCAAGTTGAGGGGGATAATGTTGAGCGAAGTCTGAATAATTTTTGAAATTATGCGTTAACCGAATTCAATAATTTTCTATCATACAACTAAAAATGCAGAAGTCTCTAAACTATTTTTTACGGGAGCCATATAAAGTCTTCTGTGGGTAACTAGATTTTGGATTTTTCTTGTTAAAAATTCTCCCGACTGACATGTAGCCCTTTTCGTGTTTTTCGTCTTTATTCTTAATAATTCGAGCGAAAACAGTCTGTAAAAATCTGGAACCTTGTAAAAATCTTTCACAAGGTTCCTCAATAACGTTTTTTGTGTCGTCAGTTGTCACAATTAAAAAATACGGTCATTTATCAATAATTTTCAATGTTTTGTAGGTGGCAAAACATTGAAAATTATTTGTTGCAAATCTCAATCGAAATTGCATGATCATTGTTGTATAATAATGTCAGTTAATGAAAAGCTTTTAGATGAAATAAACATAGCTAGCATCCATACTGTTATTATGCATATGGAACAACGACTTCTATATAGTTTAAAATGGTTTCATTCTAATTTGAATTTTGTTTTGATGTTAGAAATGCCACAAACAGATAACGTTTACTGAAAACAAAAACGCTGCTAGTTGAAGCGACGCCGCTCTTTCAATAAATTATATATGCTAAATTTGAACAAAACAAAGTCCACTTTTCTGGCGAAGTTCAATAATTGAACCCACTGTGTTGCTAAGAGAAAGCATCATAATATTTGTTAGCATCAGCAATATATTTTTTCCTGTTTTAGCAAATTTTAGCAACTGTGGCTTGGAAATATCCGTTTAACAACTAACCAAGCTTGACAACGTGTAAATAGAACTTGAAAGAGATAAGCAGTTCATATTCAACCGTTGTTCGCTTGAAATTTATGGTGTTGACGTTTTTGTTCAAAAGAAAGGTTTTGCATAGATTGTTTTTGACAAAGAAAGATTAGGACGTCGATAGCATAAGGTAGCTGCAATACAAGATATTTTTTCTAAAATTGCTATTTTATCATTTGTCTTTTTCTCTCCCATAGCAATAAACTTTCTTTAGCGCAATTATGAAAAATTATCGTTTTAATACTCAAAATATGTAACTTCATTTTTCCTGGTAACAAAAAAACCGAACGATATCCACAAACTGAGAAAATTTTTGCGTATAATTAACAATAATCGGATATTAATGTCTGTATAAAACTCGTGCCACTGACAAATTTTCCAAAAGTCTTGTTTTGATTGCCAGTGGTTTAAAGATCTCAACAGCATAAGTTAACAAATATATTTATAAATTCGCTGTATCAGTATGATATTGATTGCTGCAAAGCCCACAGCCTCAGCCTTGACTTTTCTGTGTCAAATATTGTTGTTTAAACATACTTTAGGCTTTATTGGAGGAGCCCCAAAAGAGACGTGCACCTCAATGAGGCCAAATCCAATGCGTCATCAGGCTGAACCACAGACAACAATTGCGCCGATTACTATTAAAGTTAGCGATACTTACTACAACAAAAGTAGCAAGATTGGTGTTTACGTAAAAGGAGTAAACAAAACAATGTTTAGAGGCATTTTGATTCAAGCACGGGCTATGGGTAGCACGGCAGCTCGAGGATATTTTTCCATAATTCCGACAAACACCAAATACCTGGACTGCACATCTGATCGTTACAATGCCGACAACATGGTGAGTGCCGTAGGTTTTTAATTTTTGTCGCATTTTTTTCTTATGAATGTCCTTGACCACTGACAAATTGAACCAAATCAAGTTTACTCTTGAAAACTCGCACATCGTCAGAAATAACGGATAATCTTGCGCAATTTGAGCGATGAGGCAGGCACGAGTGATTGTCATCTGAATTGCTCAGTAAGACAATTTGTACTTGAGTAGTATAGCTACATAGCAATATGCTTGCTTGAAAAACCAAAAATTTGCTTCATATATGTCAAATAATTATTAGTAAAAAAGTAGCTGGATAATTTTGGACACTAATACTTTCATATCTGTGCAGAATGTTGGGCAAGTATGTCTCAACTAACAGGATGGATGAAAAAGGTCTTCCATACTTAGCCATATCCTAAATTTGTGACTTTTCTCATCGAAACGACGAAAAATTTTCAAAGATTGTTTTATATCGATTTAGAGGTCTACCGTAACACATAGCACCGCTCTAAACGTGGATGTGGTTCATCTGACATAGCAGCCAACTGAGATGTTAACCTCTAATATATACTTCGTGGCAACTGTCGTACAAACAAGGCAAGTCTATTGGGTTGGACTGAAATCACCCATGCTGATGATGAAAACGGTAAGTTGATTTCAATGATTTTTTTATAGGTGAAGCATACATTTAACAGATATGTTCAGTTAAGTGTCCGTACTGACATAGTTATGGTGGTAACATTAAGCTGCCTTTACGCGTGTGATTACCATAATATGACAGCCTGTCAACTGCATTTTTGACCAATGTAAACGCTGAAATGGCTGAAATTGGCTGCAGCCAATGATCTAATTGAATATAGCACGAAGTTGCACAACGAGGATATAGGAATAATCTGATGTAGCTAAAGGATTTAATCCCTTTTTCAGTGCCTCGAAATTGTTTGGAACATCTAAAATTTAAATTAAGCTACCTTTAGAAAAATGGCATCTTTGTCTGCATATTTAAGTCTCCTGTCTTTTAAATGTCCACATATGTAAGCCCGCTGTGCTAATCTTTCTTTAGTCATTCACAATACAAAAGCAGTAAATTTCAACAGAAAAGAAGTAGCTGTTTAATAATGCTCAAAATTTACATATATAGTAAATATAAAATTTTCATGCCCACTGCTCTACTGCCTAAAAAATTAGAAGCCAACATTATTTAATTTTAGGGTTGGTTTGTTTCAAAACCCAATTTTTGTAACGTCGATCATGACACGAAGCTGGTGCAGAGAAAACATTGAAAAAAATACTTTTGCTAGACAAAACGTTTTCCAAAGTGTCGACGTTAAAATGCTAAGTGAAATGTTCGTACTCTTTAAAAAGTACTTGCTCCACAATTGTTCGCACTAGCTCGCACACGAGAACGACGTTTAGAGCCAAAATTTTGCAAATTCTTTTCAATATATAAACGTTAAAAATACATCAAAGTGTTTTGAAATATCCAAATATCTCATTAGCCAAAAAGCTATGTGAAAAATTGACTTCATAAGCATTTTAATTCAGCACAAAAATGTGTTGAATTGAATACAGATAAGTGGCTTTATATTAATCAAACAATGCAAATTTATATGTTTATATAATTATGCATATTTACGACTTTTTTTTTACTTTAACGAAGTTGTCCCGAAATTAAAATATTTAACCAAAAATATACTTGTTTTGATGGAATGCAAAATACATAAAAATAAGAAATTTATCATATTCTTGTTTATAGCCCATGGATGAAAATACTGGAGGAAAAAAGGGATCGTCGACTAAATTAGTTGCCAACGCTTCGCTGTTGTTAATGGCGGCTGTTGCCAGACTTCTAATCAAATGAAAACGAATCAACTCACCAGAAATCAAGGAGCGTACGTAAAGAAGCCTTGCAAGTTTAAAGATATTATTCATGTGTTAGCTATTTAGGCATAGTGCTAAAGAGGCCAAATAATTCATACGGACTAAGTTATGAATCCAAAACATATATCAACAAAGTTCTTTGTACAACGAGTATAGTTAAGTGGAGTCATGTTATAACAAGAGATTTAAAATAAATTTATGTCTTTTGTCTGTCATCAAATATTTTTTCATTGTTCCAGATCTTTCTGAGTAACACGTTTTTTTATAATATGTAAATTTACTGTATTGCAAAAGCTGTTACAAAGGTTGAGTTCACCTTAGGGGCGTGTGTGTGTGTGGAGGGGGAAGGCTGTTTGTGGGGGAGAGGTTCCGTTTCGCCATCACGACAATACGTGCGGCGTTTCCGAAACTCAGTGGCATTGCCATGTCAATAAGTGAGGGGGGATCTTATTCATATTTATGCGTATTAAATCTTTTGAAATCAATTGTTTCTTAGGGATTAAACAAGCATCTATATAAATATTATCCCCCTCACTTGTACATAGAGCATTGCAATGCCACTGCCAAAACTCCTCTGTTTTCATGTAGATTTCCGAGATTTCATAAAATTTTCTTCCTTTACCAAAGGGCAAAAGACACAATGGCAACTTGCTTACAGGCATCTATGGAGAATTCGCCAAAATTTAATTGGGGATTTGACTATTTATGTTACTGGATTGTGTAGACAGTCTTTTAAATATTCTCTGCCAATGGTCAGCAGTTGCAGCATTACAATAAATAAGTTGTTAAGAATTTTATGCAGAATACAGTTTTAAACATGCACTCAAAAGTCATGGTACTAAGTCGAACATCCCGTACGCGGATATCCTAGGCACCATGATTGACATGTATTCCGCTTATGAGAGATGGCTGCTTCGAGAGGTGTCCTTAACCTTTTATTTGCCAACTTTTTTGGTCCTTTGCGTTTTGAATGGATTCCTTGATGTTGCCATACGGCAACGGTGGGAGAAAAAGGGTTGAGTAGAGGCTCGACTTTAGTCTGTAGTCTAAAAATTTCCACTAGCTTATTCTAATCGAATAAATATTTTGTTGACAAGTAATTTTTTCCATTCGATTTTTTATGGCTTTAAACTATAATTTTTACCTCTTTAAGTTTGAGGTTTTATATCGATCAATAGTCATGCAGGAAGCAAGTTAAGAATAATTACTTTTGAATGCGATTATGCCATTTAAATCAATATAACTTGAACGCCACCTTCCGTTTATTTTTATGAAGCTAAAATTTGCGGGACCTTTCCTCTAGAGACACGTATCTCGCAACTTTTGGCTTTGCTTGTAATTTATATTTATGAAACTTTTGCTGTTGTGAAAAGAACAAAGTCATTTTATTGATTTTAGTTGTGATGTACAAAACGAATTTGAAAGAAAGTTTTTGTTTACTGTACGGTTTTTGAGTCAAAATTTTGTGTTTGGGACTATATATTTGTTGCGTTTATATTTCTATACATAACGCCAAGAAAATTTTATCTGTTTAGGAAGAGTTTTTTATGGGTTTTTTTTGCCAAGAATCTCATTCTCTTCCTGATTCATTTTTCATTCTGGCTCTTTTGAAATCAACCGACTACCTTCAGATTTATCAACAAGGGAGCGCGTAACTTTCTCATCTTAATCACGTTGATTAGTACCATTAAAACGCAAAAATCATTGAAAACGTTTTTATTTATTATCTCCTGTAAAAAATGGTTATAATTTCTGCTTTTGGAATAAAAATGCTGGCTAGATGCCCATGTGACCATATTTACCCAATCACCATGATCATGTTACAAAATGCAGAGAACAATGCCTCACCCAACTCTTATTATGCAATCCGACTTGTCGGATCCGATTTTTTTGGTTTCGAATTTTGGTTGCTTGTCCAGACAATCCAATTTTGTTGACATTCATATTCGTTTAGATATTTATAGTCGTGTAAACAGCCATTTGCGTTATCCAGTACATTTATTGATACATTTTTCGTATTTTTGTTCTTAATTGTTTCCTATGCGTTTTTTCAAACTAACACATTGTACTGTTAGAGGCTCACTTCATATGTGTTCACACGAGCCGTTTTTTAGGATCTGACAAATCGGAATGGGACTTTATCAATACCGCTATGGCTCTGATGCCATACACTTATTTATTAATTAATAATTTCTTGGGCATTGATTTCAACAATAACAATAGATAGTATATATATTTACCCCTCAAAAGAGTTGAAGTAAGCAATGAATTTACCTAATGCCAGCAATATATTTTACCATTAAAAACGAAGACTTGTGTTAAGTCGAAACTCTCGTTATTGCTTATCTTAATTTTATCTTTTACATCACGACAAATAATTCAGCAAATTTGTAAACAGGCGCTAAACTACATTTTTTTCCGGCTCTTTAAGGTATTTCTTTTTGTTTATGAGCATTGCAAAAATAAAATGTTACAATATTTCAAAACAATTTGACAGCATGAGGTCAAAACATGCCATTTCCTTCTGTCCAAATCAGCATTAAATCACCTGCAACTATGAAAACATGTGGACCATGTGCATGTATTAAATTGTAAATATGCATATATATATATATAAAGAATGACGAACTTGTGCATGGTCAACATCCACAGAACATAGGCGGAGAAGAAGAATACTTTATAGGAATAAGAGAATGTGCAAACAATGAACACTGAGAGAAATCAGGAAGAAATACAGAAAAAATAAAGCAAAGTACGTAAAAAGGCTCTGTGAAATCAAGAATAAAGCAAACTTGACAATTGCATTTCTCATGATCGTACTAGAATTCTAAAAAAGCGCATCCTTATCTCGGACATTTTTCTTTTGTGCATTAACTGGTTTGAATTTGTCCACGCTTTCTGTTGCAAAACAGATGTCTACTTATATATTTAAAATATGAATGTTTTATGGAGATTATATACTTTGCATTCGAAGTTTGTAGAAGCTAAAAATAATTTAAAGAAATGCAGTTATGTTTTTACAAATTATCTAATGAGACACCTATCATAAACATGTTATTGCGCATCATTATATAAAGCATGCGACACTTTTTGTGAAATAGCGTGCTTTGATTGGCTTGGAAACATTTTTGGCGGTCTATTATTTTGCAGTAATGGACTGGTGGTCAACCATTAAAAGGGATTTTACCAAAAAAGTTAACAAATTACGTGCAGCAAAGAGCAAAAGTTTCGAAAGAAAAACAAAAGCTAAAACTATTAAAAACATCAGTTCATGTCAATCAGTTCTAACAAGAATTGAAACTTCCAATTTAAATAGTTTTTTCTGAAATTTCTTGTCTGCTACATTATTCGATGTTCGTGAAATTTAGATTTAACCTTACTTAGAAGGATGATGGCAGGAACTAAAAGTTTTCAGTATTTTTATCAAGGAAGACGCAATTCTTTCTTATTTATGAAAGTAGATTTTCAAAAACGTTTTTTACTAACGAGGATAATGGAAATGCTGGTTATTTTCCCGTATGCAGATGCGAGAGTGTAAAAAAACAGAAGTGCTCTGTGGCACCGTGAATTTTTTTCTCCTTCTTTACAAGTTTTGTTATTAAGTTTATGCCAACGTCAGTTTATACCTATCAAATGAAATCTAAAGAAAGGCTTTTGAATCCACGCAGATTTTTATCATCACTATCCATATAGCTATAGATAGCAACATGAATGATTTGCCCGATGTCTCTCAATCGTATGTGTCAGGAGGTAACTAATTTTACTTTCAAGTCCAAAATTGTAATATACTCAAAGAAAAAACGTTTGATTAAAATCTATACAGATCGAGACCGATGTCAATATACGTAATCAAATTCAAGACACTATGAAAATGATTTCTACGTGTCTAACGCGAAGATATATGCTTCATTCACCTGCATTCACCTGCTTGCCATAATCATTTAATCAAGCTATGCATTGGATTTTACAATGTCAATATCAACACTGACATTTTGATGTAGCTACGTATAATGCGCATTTGCATTCATTAAAATATTTCGTAATGAACATATGTATTTTTATTTAAAGAAAAATGTTAGATGAGTTTTATCAAACGTTTCTGTAACTCACGTAGATATCATAAATATCGCTGCATTAATAATTGTAGATTTGAAAACGATCACGCAGCTGAAGAAGGATTAAAAATAAGAAAAAATTAAAAGAAAACGGTAAAGTGGCTTGTCTTTAATTTTTTTTAGAATTTCAGGGATTGGTAGAAAAAACTGCTCGCACAGTTTAATTCTGCTTCCTTAACACACACAGTAACACCTCCATAAACTAATAATTTCGCAACTCTATGCTTTTGTCTCATGCGTCTTAATTTATAAGGATGCTATCTTTATGCGCTGAGCTTATTTTATGTCAAAGCACGATATCTTCCATTGTTTTTGCTGTTGTGGATTCACTGGAAATTAGTCAAAAACCGTTTTTGTTTAAAATTGATTTTAAAAGAATTGAAGTCAGCCTTCACATGATGTATCAAGAGGTATTTTGACCTCAGTAACACTAAACTCGGTCTGAATATTTCTTGTTGTCATGCCGAGACTCGTCCAATTCTTGTTAAATATAAGATGGCAAGCAGAATACAAAAATGATAGTTTGTTTGTAAAAACTATTTTTGCCTTATCTTTTTTTAAACCAAATTTCACTTGACCGCAAATAGTTTAACGGAAACAACAATGTGAGTAAGTAAAGAAGCAATAGATCTAGAGGTTCAACAAATATTATAGATGTATTGTGCAAATATTATCAGCTCGCTCATCTTTCAAGTCTGTAGCTACATGGGAAAGATGGCCATTTGATTACAGTCATAAGATATGGATCAAAGCAATTTAAAAAGAAAATTTAAGAGATTGCATTGTATTGGGTAATTCATGCATTTTTATAGGAAGAGAAAAACATGTTTTTTTGCAAAATGTTATGCAACATGCTGCAAAAACTTTGGCCACTGTATCATGTTCTAAATATATGAACGAATGAACTCCGAGATTTGCGAATCAAGCAGCTGCGGACGCTCAATCATTGGAACGCATTTGCGATAAAAATATTTCCTGACTGCATTGTTTTCCCCCCGTAAAATATGCACTATTTTACGCATTTATGTTATATTTTATTGTGTTCTCTCTTTATACATCATCAAAAAGTCATGGCCGTTGGTGAAGATTTATTCAAGAAACATTGTGCAACCTCTTTGGTAGTTCCTGCACCAATAGAGCTATCGTTCCTTACAGCCAGTCTTTGTATCTTCTTCACTCTAACAAGCATACCAGGAAATCTTCTGATAATCTTAGCAGTCGTTCTTAACCCGAACAGAAATCTCCGCACTCCATTTAATTGGCTGGTCGTAAATTTAGCCGTAGCTGATTTGCTCGTTGGCCTTTTCACCGATCCCACTATGGTCGTCATACATGTGAAAGAGGGAGTAGGCAAGAAACTCTCTCAAGCCGACCGATATTCGGCTCATATGAGCTACTTCATTGCATGTAGCGCCTCGGTATTGAGCATTACTACTCTAGCAGTAGAAAGATATCTCGCGGTTAGAAAACCAAACATTTACAACAGTAGTGTGACGAGCAAACGGATAGTGTTGACGATAGTAGGCACTTGGCTTTTGTCGCTCAGCCTACCCAATGTATATTTCGAAGTCGACTACGTTTCATACTCCTTCATATTTGCCAATACTTGTGTTGCTATTGCATCGATAATAACTTGTCTGACATGTATTATGGTGTTGAAAACGATGAGAAAAAGAACAAAGAACATGGTGAAACGTGCGCTGCCTGCTAATCGTCGCACAGATTTTGCATTCCCAACGCCCGCCTTAGTTGTGAGTGCGCATGAAACAGAAATGAAAGTGACCAAAATGTTCTCTGTCATTCTTCTTGCCATGTTGTGTTGTTATGTTCCGTCAACTCTGTGCTCGTATTTGTTGAACTTCTGCAAATCGTGCGGCTGTACAAGTCTTCACTGGTTTCGCGACTTTCATTTCGTTTTCGTGCTCATGAACTCGTCGGTAAATTTCTTCCCTTATGCCCTGCAGTCACGAAAATTCCGTAGCGCTTTTATGAAGATCATCAAGCGTACTCAAAATAGTGTAGAAAATGAGACGAGTTTAGGTGTCCAACATTTTACGAGTACTTGAATCTATTCATTGAATAGTTTAAAAAAAATTTAAGATGCAAAACCCTATACTATTTATCAAAATGTTCACAAACAGAATAATCAAGGGCTCAAAATAACGGTCAAATGGTATCAGGTCCAAATGACTAGTCGACATGATTTTAGGTCGGTCAAAGTCAGTTTGATTCGGTCACAAATACACATGTACTCTTTACTAGGAAGCTGGCTTAGATAATTAATGCTGTGCCAAACATCTTATTACATATAACACTTCAAAGCTACCATGTAATTAGTTACAAATTTCAAAGACAGTTAATTACTGTTTTTCTGTACATAAATTGACGTCAAATATTTCTACCGAATAATGAGAGAAAACCGATTGACTAATATTTTGACGTAATGACGTACAAATGTCGTGGAAAGTAAAAATTGCCCGCTAAACAGGAATTATTGGCCGTTATTTCGAGACCTGTGATCATCTGAATGCTGAATTTTAATTATAAATAATTATTGTCTTGAATGTGCACGTAATTGAAAGTATAAAAAAAATAAATAACAAAACTTTACAAGATTGAATCATAAAGAAAGATATTTGCCACAGACAGTGGGGAAGCCAGCCCGATCTTTTACACTTATAGAATGCTAATTTGTCATCAAAATTATTATTCATTTCTTTAGAAAATTATATGGATTCATTGTTTTTCCTGCGAATGAACACAAAAGTATTCGCATTGTAGAAGTAAAAAACGGGCTGGCTTTTCTACAGACCACAGATATTTTAAGGTTTAGTTTCTTTCTCTCTAACTCAGTCAGCTTCGGGAGTTCTTTTAATGACCTCCGGTAAATGCGAATTATTATAAATTTATAGCACACTGTGATGATATATAGCGCACGCGATTGTTTTAGAAAATTGAAAACATGGCAACAATCAATTACAGCATAGGCAGGGTAATTGAACTATAATGGTAAAATTTTGCATTATATAAGTAACTTGTCAATGAAATAGAAATAGGGTTTGTGTTTAAGAATCTTTGGAGGCATAAAGTAAAGTTAAATTTGATTTATGTAATCATTAGACGTAAGTTGCAGAAATAAAAATTAATTAATACCATCATTCAGCTTATATCTTGTGCAGCAAAGAGGGTATAAAAATGGCTTATTAGCGGAGGGCCCTAGCGGTTGCGTCATGGTATGACATTGGGTATAAGCTTATTTCATTAAGTCTTATATAAGCAGTTAAAAAATATGACTTCCAAAGAGTATTTTAGTAAAACACAAGACAATAGACACTCCGTATAAAGTAAACATTGTTTAATCTAAACGTTTCGACAAGTGTTGTATGTCATATTTCATAAGTTATATGACGACATATAACACTTGTCACAACGTTTAAATTAAATAATATTTACTTTGTATGGAGGGTCTATTATCTTGTGTTTTAATAAGCAGTTGATTTCTTATTATTCAAAGATGGTACGACTTTGAGTAATGACAACACCTTGACATGTTTTCGCTTACCTTTTTTATATAATAACCAGAAGAATTTGTGCTATTACATTTCTGCCCACGGACAGATATCGTAAAAAGATGCCCACTCAGGCAGCCAATCAAATTGCTGGAAATCAAAAAATATTGTTTTGAGCCGTTAAATAAAAAGATAGGTACGCAATGCGTACACTTGGGTAGCCTATCAAATAAATAGGGCTAAATGAAGTAGGTAAATAAACATAATTCAAATAAAATTGTATAATTAATATCATTTACACAGAACTCGTTAAATATTTAAAAATTTATTTTAGTTATTTGACTAAGTAAGTGTTTAACAATTTCTGCATTTTTCGAACGTCTTAGCTTAGGTTGCGCGCTTCATAATGCATGTGCTCACAAGAATCGCACCAAGGAAAGTAACGTCATTTAGAGTTCTTGCGACTTTTAAAGTGTTTTTTTACTGAAAACCATTTTTTCTATTGTTGTGTTTTAAAAACTTTTTCTGACGTGTCTTAGACGTCGTTCAGAGAACGTTATTCCCCCATAACGATGAATACCGTACGTATTTGTTCGAAAAGTACAGCGGTGCTAATTTTTTCTCACCACGCGTGCGGTGTTTATTGGAGGGCAACGCTCGGGAATTAGTAAATGTGTTTTGAGCCAACGGTCGTGTTTTTAATGTTAGTTTTCCAAAGATTTTGTTTTTATTGCAAACAATGTTTGATTGTAAACGCTTTGCTCAATGATTGCAAGTGATCGAAAGTATTTTGTATTTCCTGTTCATGGACTTAATAGTTTGACACGTATCATATTTCACTAGATGTAAAATTGTAAACCACACAAATAAAACTTATATTTCGCACAAATTTGATTAAACGTCTCTCACTCTGGATGAGTAAATCGAGCGACGTACAAGCAATGCAAATAATACCAATTGGACCTATTTACAAACGCAAATTCAAATACACAAACGCAAATTATAATATGCAAAACTTATATCCGGTTATTTGCTACCTATATGTTTTCTGAGCTTACCAAATAAGTTAATAACCCATCCCTATAACGAAGCGTAGATTATTGTCATATTCTAATACTTTCGTTTGATTTCGAGAAAGAAAATCTATGTTTCATACACTGATGTAAAATAAATACGAAACATCCAAGAGGTATATATAGTATTTAGCGTTTGTGTACATGTTCGTATTATCTTACCCGTCTAACATTAATTTGAGCCAGTGATTTAAACACCATGTTGTACTGTATGTGGGAGTTAACTAAATACAAGGGGTAATTTTTTTGCTCACTGTGGGCGGATCTTCGAAAGCCCGACAAATCAAAGACCTTACAGAACAGTGATTCATCAACATCAGTTGGGTCTTCTACTGATCATCCTCGTTCCACCAAACCTTTGACCTTTAAAGAGTATTTGGCAGATGTTTCATTTGCCACCGTTGAGAAAAGGAAGCGTCAAGATCGTTTTGCCTCCACGAAAAAGTGGAAGAAGGATGAGACAGTCAAGGCTTGTGGTTTGCTTTTTTATTCATACCATCAATCCTAACCTTTTATTACTACCTCTGCAAACAGGTCATGTCCAGTAGCGTAGCCAGCCCGACATTTTACTCCCGCTATGCAAAATTGTGTTTACTGATCGTGAGAACAATAGATTTCTAAAGAAATGAATAATGGTAATCCTTCAAAATTTACATAGAAGGAGTAAATCTGCAGGCTGGCTACGCTACTGGTCATGTCAATAATTATTTGAGGGTTGCGTGATGGCCGTGAATGCTTGTTTTTATGTACATATTTGTTCTGTAATTCCCACCTACAGTTAAGCTCAAATATAAAAGGCATGGTACAGAAAATTTTTTTTTGCTGTTATTGGTACCAACACAATAGTATTTTTGTGGCATGCTTTTAAATTCAGGCTCAGGTTTTCTTCTATTAACACTGCTTAGTGCTCACCAAGCCCATATGAAATGGAAAAGGATAGAATAGTTTTTGCCATTATAGCTCTTTTCATATGAGTGCGCCGCGCGCCGAATTTTCTGATTAGTTTGTATAGTGTCAACGTAACGTTTGTATTGTGTTAAAGTAACGTTTAGTCAAGGTCAATGCTACGTTTGAACAAGGTCAATGCAACGTTTGGCGGTTGTCAACCAAGATGAAAACAAGATAGCATCGCTGAACATGAACGTGAGAGTCATGGGCGTACGAGACCAAAAAAATTTTGGTTGCTGACACTTTTTTACCCGACGGAAACTGCCCATCATTAAATTTATTGATATAAAATACACTATATGGTTGGATTGCTTGGCAAACGCATAATATTAAGGTGAAAAATATCACAAAACTGTTTCTATACATCATATTTGTGCATATATTGCATGAATACTTTAACTTTTAGTAACTGATATCGTAACTTACTTAGCTGTTTGTAGATGACATATTTTGTCCTTCTATAATAACTTTAAAGGTCAATGATTGCTGCTTATTTCCAATTAGTGGGAAATTTTGCACATAATAATATACATGAAAAAGTGTCTCAATTCTGATTGGTTAAGAGCACTGCAATTTATCGTAAACACCAGTGCAAAAAATCGAAACACCAGAGCTGATTTTTCTTCAAAACTGCTCCTGATTAGTTAGTCAAACAAAAAAGTAATATAAGAGCCAATCAAAATAAAACATCTCAAAGGTGGGAAAGTTACATTATTGTAAACAAAGCAATTACAATGGCTAGCGTAAGTTTTAAGTAGATTTTCTATGGCGAAAGAGTTTGAAGTTCACTGTTTTAAAGATGTTTCTGGATAAAAATATGAACACTGCTAAAAGTAGATACCTTGTTCTAGCGGTGTGTGTGTGGAAGCTATGGTGTTGTGAAAAGTAATATCCGACGGAATTGAAATATACGAGCCGGTCGATATTAATAACTAGCCGACTGAAATTTACGTACGCGGAAGTTGAAATTCAACAGAATTGAGAAATTATTTCATGTATATTATTGATAGTCTTTGAAAAACTCACTCGTGCATATTTTTTCCAAATTGCCCTCGAAACCATGCTATTACATAAGCAAAGCGACAAAAAGTGCATGTACGGACGAAAAAGTAGAAGTCTGGATGGTTAAAAAAGTAGCAAGGAATAGGCAATGACGTAGAAAGAGGAAGGCCTTACGGGAAGGCCCCAGGAGAGAGGGCGGAGAGAGGGCTTACTGGAAAATTTTGTCATTATGTCATATATATATATAAGCGCAAATTCCTACAAAATTTAAATATTTGTCCTATAAAAAGCGCAAATTCAATCCAATTTCGTAAGACATGTATCTAACTTAGTGAGTGAACTATATATCAACTGGTTTAATGTAAGTAGAGTGACGTCATGCTTATCGTTTTTCTCATATTATGAGCAAAATGCGCAATAAAACAATTCGAATAAGTACCGAGTTCTTCAAATACGGCACGGTAAATTATGTTTTATGTATTTTTCGCCAAACAAGATATAATTGATGTTGGTAATCGCCCACGTGATTATAAAATCTATTGCATTGAAATTAACGTCTATGCTACATCTATTCGGACTCCAGATATAAAAGGCCCTTGTTAGAATCTACATACAAAGCTTTAATTCGATTGACTCTTATTTTGACTAGTCAATCCATAAAAATTTCAAATTTTGAAAGTTGGTTTTTGAAGATATATAAATATAACTGTGACAAGCAATACAAAACACACCCACACGATGTTTCTATACGCTTGACTTGATAACTTTTGTGTAGTAATTTCTTAAGAAAAGAAATAAAGAATATTATGCAAATTGCCTTTACTTCTATTCGTTAATTATAATTACCTGATGACCTTAAAATCTTTATATTTCCAGTTGGCAACCAAGGAAGTTAATTGAAAAATATTGGAATGTATTCATTTACAAGCAGGGGCTTTTCTTTATTTATTATTTTCGTTATGTTCCGTGGAAGTACTAATACATTGGATGAATTCTCGTTACTTTACTTAAAGCAGTTGGGTTACGATGCATTTTATGTTGGTGTGATGCCTTTGTTTGGTTTAGTGACACAGTTGATTGGCGTTCCTGTTTGTAGCTATTTGGCAGATAAATTCCAACTCCGTAAATTTGCTTTTTTTCTGGCAACTCTAATTTCTATACCAACAATTATGATGTATGGGATTCCACTTGCGAAATCTTTACCGTGTAAAGAAAGATGGAAAGAGGAAAATGTAGCCATTTATAAACAAGGAAACACTATGTCGGTGAATCGGTCTTTATTAAGTAAAGGAGTAGTACTGAGTAATTTTAAGTCGAACAAAACCACTCAAAGTAACGTTTCAGCTGTGCAAAGCTTGTCAATGTTTGAAGATGACAAGCAAAATGAAAATACCAAATTGAAGCTGTGGTATTATTTAATTCTTTGTTTTGTAAATGGCATTTATGAACTGTGCAGGAGGATGACTGTTGGATTAGTAACTGCTGCCGCAATAGGTCATGTAAAAGAAAAAAAATACAAATATAGGCTATTTGAAGTAATGGGTGCTGTAGGTACGGGTATAACACTCTGTGTTGTCTCGCTGATTGCAGGTCAATTTAAATATGAGAGATGTGATGAGGAGCAACCAAGCTTTTTTGTTTCATTTCCCATTGCAGCCGCTCTACAATGTTTTACTTTACTTGGAACACTCTGGTTAAATTTTGATTACTACGAAAAACCTGACAATATAAATTATAAGGAGGCGATTTTGGCATTGTTAAAACCACAGCACATTTTTATTTTGTGTATTGCGTTTCACGTTGGTGCATGCAATGGGTTTTTAACTCGTTGGCAATACTGGTTCATGGATAAACTTGGTGCAAGCACAACTGTCTTGGGTGTAGAAGGTTTATTAAAGCGAATAATGTCCTTGACATTCTCTTATTTAGCTGCAGGTTATGTAATACGAGCATTGGGGCGAGACGCAACGATGACTCTTTCCCTTTTGTTGTTTGCTTTTGCATTTGCTTTTCTTGCATTGATCAAGAACCCTTGGCTCCTAATTCTTACGGACAATATTCAATATTCTGCCTATACATTTTTCTATATAGCAGTGGTGCTTCATTTTTCAAATACAGAGTCAGACGCACTTTCTGTATTTTTTCAAGGTCAGTAAAATGCAAAATTTTGACTGACCACAATTAAAATGGAAAAAGTCAGTAGTTTATTACATATAAAGTAAGATTACAATATATAATGACTTCTTTGCAAACTAATTGCATTTTAAAAAAACACGATTTTCTAGATGAAATATTTAAATATCTGAGCAAACATTTATTTCATGTTTACTATCTGCATTGGGACATTAAATCAAAATTTAGTTTAAAAATTTTACGGAAAGACCTGGAGTATAAAAAATTGTATTATGACCGTATTTCTTAAAAAAGTTGAAAAGTATTTTAGGCATCAATACTAATATTTCGAGAATAATTTTTTGCTGTAAATGCATGCCATCAATTAACTAGCTGATGCTTTTTCTTTAATCTTTGTGAGTTTTCTAATTCGATTTTTACTTAAACCTTTTTTACATTTTAAAATCATTCATATTTTTTCAACTTAACTTGACAAATTGCAAAAGTCACGTGATCTCAGAACTGTTTATCGTTAAAATAAATGGTCATCAAAAAAGTTAAATTTTATGAGCAAAGGATGAAATATAACATTAATTGATTTGATTATAATTTTCAGGTGTAATAACGGTTGCCATCAATGGCGTTGGTAAAGACATTGGCTCTTTATTCATTGGCTATTCTTTTAAAGAATATGGCATCAGGAAAACTTTGTACGGATATTCAGTGATCTCTCTTATATGTTTTACAGTGCTCGCAATTTTTAGTTTAAGGAAATACAAGGCTAGTAAATGTAAGCTAACAGAAACAGAAAACAAATGCGACGACGACATTGATGAAGAGATGACTTGGAAATGATAATGATATAGAAAAAAAGGCTAGTGAATAAAAATGTTTTAGAAACTTGGACAAATTGCTTGTTCAAGCAGAATAAAGTGCCCTTTACCAGATGCTATGACATACTTATTAAAAACTTTGCTACTATATAGAATAATAACATTAAATCTAAAATAAATTATCATAGGCATATGTAACTTGCCGGGTATACAATATAATAGGTTAACGACTCGTTAAATCCTATGCCGTTTTAACTCATGTCGTTAAAATTGTAAAATTATTGTTTGTGTTAATATCTGCTATTGTACATGCTTGTCAGCCATAAAATTAAATCTAAGTACGAAGAATCAAATTAACATGCAGTTATATAAAAACCAAAACCAACAAAGAGAAGGGTTTTCTCATTCTTTATTTAATATGTTTTACCAAGGGTAATCTTATGAACTTATATAGCTTTTCTCCATGAGGACCCTGCTCTCTAGATTTTATTTACCTCTTGACAATTTTCCTAGCTAGTGTAACACAGAGCACCGGGAGAAAACCGGGAGCTTCCGTTGAGAGTTGACCATTGAGTTCTATAATAACTGGAGGGAGCTTGTCATTCAAATTACTATAAATTATTTGTGCACAACAGGTTTTCAAAAACATGGATGATGTCATGCCTTTATATGGGAAAATTTTGTGGTCCATATTGGCAGAAAGACGTGCGCTCGGAAAATGAAAACTTTTCGCACCTTTTGGAGTTTGACCACGTACCACTTGCTGTCTCTAACGTATTTATGAATTATCTCAAAGTGCTTACATCTGCATATTTATCTAGCAAAATGCTGCAAACTTGCCTTGTTAACAGATGCAAAAATAATGCTAGAAAAAGAAAATTTTCATGGCAAAATCATTTAGATAACGCTTTTTGTCTTTCAATGTCAATGCCACCACTACTTAGCTTTAGAGTGAATGGTATTTGTCTAATTTTTATTCTTTATAGCTTTCCAGAAAAAGCGATACACCCTATACTTAATGCGACGTGTGTATCCAGCATCAGGCAAAACTCCCCAAGTATGGATGAGTTTACCCTGCAGAAATGAAGCAGGATGTTATGAAACATTTTTCTGACCAAGTGGCAAAAAGTATTATGCAAAGGGTTGTGTTAAATTTAATTGCAGTGTCACAAATTTTTAAAAATGCTGTTGTATGTATGCTACAACTAACGTATCTTCATTTAAATGTACTCTTAACACTATTTGATTGGATATTTTAACAGGAGAAAGATGATTGGAGTAAAGATTTGCCTGATGCTGCTTGATATTTAAAAATCCTATCCAGTGCTCCAGTGAATAAAGTTTGTATTTTAAGTGAGAAAAGTAAAATTGAAGATAGCTTGATTTCCCTGCCAGATCCAAGCATAGATCGATGATGTCTGTCATATTACATGATAATGAGGTGACTAATTTCAATTGTACATTGCATGATTATATGTACAGTTGCAAATCTCCTTATAGAATGTAGCATTAGTTAGAGATGCTCATTGAGAAAGCAGAGTCTCTTAAGAAAAAACCGAAAATATGGTGAGTGAAAAATGATGGTTTGAAAATGAAAGTCAATGATTTGTCTTCTGTTGTTTCTATTTTAAAAGAGAAGGGTCTTGTTAATGATGATCAAGCTGAAGTCCTTATTTAGGGTTCCAAGAGATATATTAAACAGGTTAGAAATGATGATAAAAGACCTGTTTCCTACCGTACTGAGCTAATGTTATTTGCTCTTTTACTCAATTCATTCAAGAAAAGATAATGACTACTACGTCAAAAAGTTTAATTTGGTATTGCCTCATTTAACTACAATCCACACTTGGTATTATGTATTTGACGGGGATTCTGGATTCATGCCAGGTGCATTTGTTGCATTCAAATTTAAGGCTGAAAAGGGAAGGAACTTCTATGTGCCTTATTGGTGGATAAAATGGCAATTCGCAAACATGTAGAGAACATGTTCGAAACCACGTGTTTGGCTTATCAACATAGGAATTGACATATATGATGATGACTCACTGCCTGAAGAAACAGAAACTATACGTACATGGCTGTTGCTGTAGATTCTTCATTTAAAGTTACTGTAATTACTTTCTAACCGATGTAATTAATGGACAGATGAAAGCCGACCTGTCCAGAGAATGTATTGCCAGACTACATGATGTTAGTGCAAGAGTGACCAGCTCAACTGCTGATGGTCAATTTTCTCATCAAACGATGATGAAGCTTTTTTAAACAATATCAAGCATAATTTTTGTATCCATGGGACTCACGTTTGGAAGATTATACTTGTTTTCATGCATGTCACATGATCAAATTAGTGAGATGTGCATTGATGAACTGGGAGAATTAAAAGATGCAGGTAATGACCTGATAAGATGTGATTATTCAATTAAGCTAGCATAGCTACAGGAATCGGAGGGTTTGCGATTAGCAAACAAGCGTCAATCTTGTCATACTCATTGGCAATCACAAAAAATAAAAGTTAATCTAACTGTGCAAGCACTCACTTCTAATGTTACTAATGCATTGGAATAATGCAAATACGCTAAAACTTCAACAGTTTAAAGAATGCGGTGCAACTGCGCAATTTATAAGTATATTTGATCGCTTGCTTGATGAACTCAACTCCAGAAATGCCATGGCTAAAAACGACAAGACACTTATTAGAAGGTGCAATTATACGTACATGAGGTAACATTACATGAAAAGATTGAAGACTTTTGATGGCAAATACATTCTCTTGCGTAAGAGAAAAACTGGATTTTTTGGTTTGTCTTCGACTTCATTGAAATAATGCATTTCATGAGAATCCTCGATGACCTAAGACTATAGCAAGTGTGGATTATTATCAGATGAGGAAATGCTAAATTAAACTTTTCATGCACAAAATCATAAGCTTTTCTTGAATAAAAATATGAAGATAGAAACAAACCTTTGGGTCAGAGCAGTTCTTTTATCTTTGTTTTGGTTTATCATCCTACTTAGAACAATGCCGTAGCCAGCATGCAAATTTGTTCATGCTAGGTAAATTTTTCACCATTAGCATTATTTATCTTTAAAAAATATGTTTTTTACAGCAAGCGAAAACCAAAATATTTACATAGCAGGCTGCCTACGCCACACCAGTAGTGGATCTAGGTGTAGTCACAGCAAGCAGCAGCGATGAAAATAAATCAAAGGTGTTTAATTTTAAATTCAAAGTACTTTCAGATAAGCACTTTTGGTTTTGAATTTTGAAAGACTATAATTTCACCAATGGACTTCTCTCTGAGTTTTTTCATAAAAATGTAAATCATTATCGTTAGTTTTGTGTGTGTTAATTTATGTTGTTGTGGCGGTGGCGTTACTTTTGGCTGATTTGCTCAGCCTGAATGGAGTCCCACTATAAAAAAATGTTTTTGTACTTGCGTTTGATCGGCTGATGTATATTTATTTTATACGATTAAATGCTATAAGAGTGTGTGTTTTTGAGTGCACTTGACGAGCTCGATGCACAACACCGATTTTTTCATAGCTAATATTCTTTTTTCTAGCTGTACATGAAAAAGTGCAAGGCCGTATCCCTTAAATCTGAGTCACTCGAGATGTACGTGTTATATGGGATGTTATCTAATCCTTGATATAACTGTTCAACATGTCGCTCTTCGAAAAATTATGTTAGACTGGACGAGATTTGAAGGGGAGATCGGTTGATGGAAGGACATGGTTTTGACCACTGAAGCGCACGTGATTTAGTGTTCAAAAATTTGTTGAGCTTAAAAAACTGTGCAAGACCACGTAAAGCACGAAGTGTTTAGTTTTAAATATAGTTTTTCAAAACGTTGCACTTAAAAAATATGTAAAACGTAATATTATATGTCAAGGCTGAACCAACGTGTTGCTCCAACCTACCTTCTTTATGTCTGTTTCTGTAAATTTTTTGTCTCTTGCCTACACCATGAAAATAAGGGGTCAGATGTTTTGATATTTGTACCGACAAATTTTTGTTCTCATAATAAACTTATTTTTTTGAGTCATGCACGGCACTCGAATCACGTTTTTGTGAATGTAAGACAAAATATCTGGCATCTGAGCAAATGTTTCCACAGCGCTTTGCGATTGTAGAAGTTAAAGAAAGATCAGAATAAAAACTTAATAAAAGTGACTACATGACTCTCGACATGATGATTACAATAATTGATTTCAAGATAAAATTGACTAAGCGACTGCAAGATTACATTGACTTTTAACAACTGTAGGATTACATTGACTACATGACAACATGTCTGCATTTAGCTATATGAAACAATTAACGACTTTTCAAATATCGTCCTTGGAGAAGTCGTCTTTTCAAAGTTCTTTGCATATTTTATCTACCTGTGGATTTACTCTTGTGTATCTTTTCATCAATCTTTTTGCCTATCTTTGTGCCTACCTTTTTGTCGACCTTTATTTCTGTATTTATATATCCACCTTTGTGTCATCACTTTTGTCAATTTTTTTGTCTACCTTTTTCGTTGGCTTTTTTTCAATCTGCTTGTGCATCTTTTCTGTCTACCTCTATTTTTACCTATGTTTAACTATGTCTATCTTTGTGCCTACCTTATCGTCCATCTTTTTGTCCATCTTTTTGTCTATCTTTTTGTTAACTTTTGTGTCTACCCTTTTGCCTATTTTCTGTCTATATTTTTGACTGTACCTTTGTATCTACTATTTTGTCTACCTTAGTGCCTATCATATTTTTTATCATTTTTTCTATCTTTTGTCTATCTTTTTGTCCACCTTTGTGTCTACTTTTGTGATTATGTTTTGTCTAATGCATACGTTTTTATCTGTTCTACCTTAATGTTTTTACTGTGGTGTCGACGTTTTTACCTACATTCTTGTTTACCTTTTTGTCTAGCTTTATTTCTACCAATGTTTCGACCTTTTCTACTTTTAATTGTTTCTATCTTTTCTCTATCTTTCTTTCTTCATTTATGTATACATTTTAGCAGTGGCGTAGCTAGACAAAAACAACAGGTCGTGTTATAGTGAGTACAAACATGAAATACGCTTCTTTTGATTTTTCATGCTTTTGGCAATCGCCCAGTAAATGATAGATGTTGACATAATCAGTTTTAGTCCATTATTGTGAACCTTGAAAGAAACAGTAAATAAAGCAAACAAAAATAATCCTTAATTTCTTCACTCTTCAATCCATTTAATATGGCAATTGCTCTCTTTAAGTCGTAATTTCAACAATAACAGTAGATAATATATTTAATTCACAGAAGAGTTTAAGTAAGCTATGCATTTACCTTATGCAAGCAATATGTTTTGCCATTAACGACGAAGATTTGGTCTGAGGCAAAACTGGTGCTGTTGCTTATCTTAACTTTA